CCGCCGATACGGCGACGCCGCGCGTCCTCAGTCGACCACTCGCCGGTGCGGTTACTTTTTTCCCAAAAAAGATTTTTCTCGCAAGTCTCCACCCGACACTCGCTATAGGCTAATCGACCTGCGGGGCGGAGTTGGGGGAGTTGCGCAAACTCTTTTTCCCGAAGTTTTCCGGATGGGAGTTTTCTGGAAACGGGTCGGCGGCGAAGAGAGAGGAAAACGAGCAACAACAAAAAAAGAAGGTTGTTTTTGCGATGTGTCGTGTATGGCTATTAGTAATGAAGGTTTCAATATTGCCCGGCTTCAAAGGGGAGATTTAATTTTTTTTTTTTTTTTGACTACATTGAATGCCTTTTCATCTCGAAGTTTATATATATTGGTTCTTTAATTTGGTTAATAGTTATTTACGTAATCAATAGGTATAGGGCTTTAAAGTTGAGACGTAGTTTGATTTACGTCAGCCAAAATAATTTCTATTTGTATAGATTTCAGTTACTTAAGTGAAAAGATCTGATAAATATTTACCTGATTTTTATGGAATACAAATACTTACAGTCTGTTCGCTATACTTACGCGGGTTTCGGATTAACAAAATTATGCAAATTAATCATTGACAACCAGTTCCAATAAGCCTCTTCCCAAGAAATTAGGTAAAATTGCGCTAATGGTCAGATTTAAATTAAAATAACATTAGGGTAGGTACTAAATCTGTTACAATTATTGCAGTTGAATTGATTCTTTGCAAGTGTTGACATTGTATGTATATTGTAAATTTAGTGGAAATTTTAAAAATGCCTAGACGTGTGTTAGATGTAGATAGTTTAATTTGTAGTATACATAAGTATTTTACGGATGAAAAAGAAAATGGCGGTCCTTTAAAATCGGTAATGTCTGTACAACAACAGGTTTGCGATGCTCTAGTAATTAGTGAATCCAAATTAAGAGGAGTATTACAAAATCACAATAGTGAACTGCCGAAAGAAGATCACCGCAAAACTCGTCCATCATTGAAAACGAAAGATATTCCAGATGGAAAAAAATTTAAAATTCGTGATACCATTTATCGAATGAGGGGCCAACAAGGAACACTTGACCTTAAATACAATTCTTTCGTAATTAATAGATAGAAAATTTGACGACATTGGCAGGACAAGTCTGTGGCAAGTGATACATAACTTGGGTTTCAAATTTCAAAAGGAGGATAACAAAAAGGCTCTTTGTGAAAGAAGTTATGTCGTGCACAAGAAAATTAACTTTCTAAGAAAATATTCTAAATTTAAAGAAGAAGGGGCGAATTTTATATATTTAGATGAAACATGGATATTTTCTAGAGGTGCAACCAAGAGAATATGGCAAGATGATAACGTAAAGTCCATCAAACATACCGATGGAGAAGGGAAGCGACACACAATTTTACATGCAGAAGGGAAATCGGGTTTTATATAAGGTGCTGATTTAATATTTTCATCTAAATCAAAATCCAGTGACTATCACGATAATATGAACACAGAAATGTTTGTAAAATGGTTGCATGAAAAACTTCTCCCAGATTTAAGTAAGCCCAACGTAATTATTTTAGACAATGCACCTTACCATTCTGAAGTATTAAACAAAAGTCCAACGAATTCTTGGATTGTTGATAAAATTAAAGAATGGTTGACAAAGGAACATATACCATTTTCTCAATATATTATTAAAATCAGAATTATTACGCTTGGCAAATATACACGCAAAACCAAAAACTTTTGTTGTGAATTAGATTATTGAAAGTTACGTTCATCAAGTTTTACGTCTGCCACCGTATCATTGCCAGTTTAATCCCATCAAATATATATGGGGAATAGCAAGACAATATTATGACAACCATATTGGGCCTAATGGTTATAGTGACGACGCAGTTGGGGAAACTTGGCGAAAAGCACTTTCAATTGCAACTCCAGAAGTGTGGCGGAACTGTATATCCAAGTGCGAGAAACCAATAGATGATTTCCCTCCTGCATGTAAAATTATGTGCCGCTTCCCTTCTCCATCGGTATGTTTGATGGACTTTACGTTATCATCTTGCCATATTCTCTTGGTTGCATCCTTAGAAAATATCCATGTTTTGTCTAAATATATAAAATTCGCCCCTTCTTCTTTAAATTTAGAATATTTTCTTAGAAAGTTAATTCTCTTGTGCACGACAGAACTTCTTTCACAAAGGGCCTTTTTGTTATCCTCCTTTTGTAATTTGAAACTTAAGTTATGTATCACTTGCCACAGACTTGTTCTGCCAATGTCGTCAAATTTTCTATCTATTAATTCCGAAAGAATTGTATTTAAGGTCAAGTGTTCCTTGTTGGCCCTCATTCGATAAATGGTATCACGAATTTCAAATTTCTTTCCATCTGGAATATCTTTCGTTTTCAATGATGGGCGAGTTTTGCGGTGATCTTCTTTCGCAGTTCACTATTGTGATTTTGTAATACTCCTCTTAATTTGGTTTCACTAATTCCTAGAGCATCGCATATGCGTTGTTGTACAGACATTACCGATTTTAAAGGACGGCCATTTTCTTTTTCATCCGTAAAATACTTATGTACACTACAAATTAATTAGACTATCTACATCTAACATACGTCTAGGCATTTTTAAAATTTCCACTAAATTTACAATATACATACAATATCAACACTTGCAAAGAATCAATTCAACTGCAATATTTGTAATAAATTTAATACCTACCCTAATGTTATTTTAATTTAAATCTGACCATTAGGGCAATTTTACCTAATTTCTTGGGAAGAGGCTTATCGGAACTGGTTGTCAATAACTAATTTGCATAATTTTGTTAATCCGAAACCCGCGTAAGTTATGTCTTTTTTTACTAAAGTTGAAAGAGACGTTTGTAAAATGTTATTTTAAGGTTATATATTTCAAACTTCATTAAATTAAAAAGATATGATAAATAATAGGATTGTTTGGTGTCGAGACTACTGTTGATGTTTAACTTCGCCTTCATTCCAATAAAATTCTAGCCTTCCATCTGTGCTAGAAAAATGTTATTACATCATGAAATATTTACTTTGTATTGGCAGCGTGACGTAAAAGTTTTTTATGCGGTTCTCTTTCTTTAGAAGCGTGTGTCTGTACAGAGGCGTATTCAGATTTACGGTTAAAAATATATACAATGTTTTTAACAAAAGCCTTGGTTTGAAAATATATTTTATCTTGAACATAAATGCTGTAGATAAAATAATTTTTCTTGACAATCATTTCACTTTATCTAATAGTAACTTAATTGGAATTTGGTTTAATATTTATTCTAAACATATGCTCCTATTACTGTTTAGAGTAGTTTTTGTAAAGAAGAATTACAGCAATATCAATCAAATTTCTTAATTATTCAATTTGTATCTTTTGTTTTGAGAGTTTTTGATTCGTTTTTGATCTTTTTTTCAATTTTTTGTAAACTTAATAAATTCATGTTATTGTAAAAAATTACACTCCGGTTCTATTTTTCACTTGTAAAAGCTAAAATAAACAAATTTGCAAGATTGCTCTTTTGAGAGGTAAAAATTGAACCGCCATTTTTTATCATGCAGTCTTGCAAGGTTCAAACAGTAAAAATGTCCATTAAAAAATTACTGAAACGATTTTACCTGAAGTCACAAAAAAAAATTGATAGTGACAAATGAAGGGTTTAAAATGTTTTAAAACAAATTAATAGTGTCTTCTGTTAAATGGAAAAAGCTATAAATTCAGCAAGGTAAAATACCCGAAAACCGGGTAAAATACTTACTGTTGGCAACACTGTTGCAGTAAATTTACTACCAAATTAGTGGATTTTGGAACTGGTTTACCGTGGTTTTGTCTAATATACAAGTTTATTTCAAATGTTGAAAAAAGTAAATTTATATTTAAGGAGACTGTAGAGAATGGTTATAATAAATTTGGAATAAGCTTGTGTAAATCTGTTTAGATAGTTAGTTTTTGATGGGTTTACGACTATTTAGGCAAAGCTTAGGTAGGTACTTTTAAACATTGTTGCCAAATTAGATTTACTTATATTCCGTGTCTACTATACCTTTTTATAAGAAAACTATACCCAGTTCTTCTGCTCTTATTGTGGTCAGTCAATTTATACTATAAAAAAACAAAATTATATTTTTAAAATATATATATATATATATAAAACAATTAAAAATTGTAGAAGGCTATGCAAATATTGTCATATCGTCATATCATTTATGTCAATTTTTGAAACGACAATTTTTTTTGCTTTCAAAAACTGTTTCTTAACAATTCAATCATGATGTCTTTTTTCTATCTAAAGCGAAGATGAAGTAATGAGATTATTTAGAACTCACCAGAAATATTCTGTTACCAGTAAAATTTCAAAAAAATTTCGGATTGACGATATAAAATCTTAAATATTTTTCCTAAAACTCATTATGGCTTATTTTGAGAAATTCACTCATTATTTTTTTATATTTTTTTATTTTAATTAGAAATAGTGGTCGTAGATATAGTATAGTACGTTACATACTATCATATGAAATTAACAAACTCAGAAATTCACAATACCAAAGAATAAACTTCTATTCTAAAATTTTATACACATTACGGGCTATCAATTTAAGTATCACCCCCCATTAATTTCCTTCATCCTCTTGTAATACACCAACTTCGAATTGGCACTTTGTTACAACCCTTTTTTATTACCTCCAATTCTCCGATCGCATTCGAATCCAATAAAAACCTTTCAAAAACTCTTTTAAAAATCCAACTCGCTATACCCATAAAAAAGACAAGATCCAATTTCCAGATCGCATTCAAATGGCCCGCGAAATTTTCGAAATCCCCTCGTAAAACAAATCCGTGCTAAACGATGTTTCGTCTCTGTCGGATAAGTTGGATTGTCAGTCGGTTGCCGTCTCGCTCTTGGCGGGAGTGCGGGAACCAAACGATTTTCCAGAAAAGTTTTGAGAAACAAAGTTTTTAACGATTTTTCCTTGTTGCAGAGGGTACGAAGTGCCCGACTCCAGGATGTACGGGTCAAGGACATGTAACTGGATTGTATTCGCATCACAGGAGGTAAGGATTCTTATTTTTTTTTTATTTAAACAAATAAGTAAGTTAAAAATTTTAAGAACAGTAACATAAGTAAAACAATCAGCTTTGCAACTGAGTCAAGTTATGTGGAAAAGTTGGAAAATCGTGATCTTAACGCCATTTTTTTTGGTTGAAAAATGAGACCTTAAATATCTAGCTGTGCTGGAAAGTCATGTGGTAATTTTTGATAATTCTTAAGGTTTGTCTGTATAGTTAGCTCTTAGTTATTATCATCTTAAACGCGAGTAAGTAAAAGTTATTTAATTAAAAATTATACATCAATAGTTAGATTAAACATTAGAGTACCAACCAAAATGTTTGCAAATATTTGTTTAATATATTGAAAATGTTAAAGAAATCAAAACAATCTATGACAATATCAGTGATAAAAAAATCATAAAATAAAACGTATGTAGCTGAAATAAAAAGGTGTACATAGAAGTTTTACTGATTTCTAAAGCAGCAGATAAACACCGTGTACTAACTTGAGGATCATCTTTAATGCGAACCATTATTTCGTCATCTTTATCAGGCGTAATTATTCTTGGTCGGCCTTATCACGCTTAGGACGAGACAAACCACTTTCGCCTAAATTCCTAAATAAATTATTAAGTTGCTGCCTGTTTGGATAGCAACCATATCTCTCATATCTGTATTAGAATAATTATTATGCCTCGGCATTTTCTGCTTTTCTTAAATTAACCAGAATAAATGCAAACTAAATATTACAAGACTGACATAATATTGAAACAAATCAAATGCTTTGCTGTCAAAATCATTCGTGACGTCCGCCTACTACGTTAATAGTTCCCGAAATGAATAATTAGGCATTCCAACGACCTGTCCAAATGGCTACCAGTGGGAACTGACAGTTTAGATTTGGCAACCTTGTTGTCATGTTGTCATTAACAGGGTCATGATACATATATAGTTATATAGATTGCTCAAAGTTGATCGTTTGAGAGTGGCCATATTGCCTGGCAAATATTTATTAATTTGAATTGGTTTAACAAAAAAGTGTTTTAAAACCAATTTTCAGCCTTTGGATATTAAAAAAAATATTTTACTTACATTTTTACTTCAAGGCATAAGCTTATGTTTATTTTGAAAAATATGGATGATCAATCTATGTAACTATCTATTTCATTGACCTTGTCAAATCACCAGGCCTACAGGGTTGCCATAATTATGGGAACGTATAGATAAATGCATCGACGAAAATTGAGGACATATCGAACATTTAATGTGACACAATTAAAGTTATAATGTTATTTAGCTTAGTTTTTTTTAATTTGTTTTCTAAATGTTTTTAATAATAATCATTGTACCAATGTACCATCAAAATTTCAAAAAAATTTACGCCTTACACCAACTAAACCTGACGATTTATAGTTAAACTCTGTCCCAACCTTTTGAAAACACCAGGTATATTGCATCGCAAAGTAAAAAACCCTTCCTATTACTGTTCTTAAAATATTAACTTTACTTTTTCTACATGCTAGAGTCTACTCGTATTTTATATAAAATAGTTTAAAAAATGTTCCTTATAATCATTTAACGATACCTATCCTATACCTAATAGACTCTAGTCGCACCTAATTTGAATGCTTTTACTAATACAAAAACATTTGAAATAGTCTTTCTGGATGTCCGAGGAAAGACAAAGTTACACCAGAAAGTAAGTTTACAAAAATCTCTAATGTCTTGTATATTATTTTATTTTATTGAAATGTTTTTAAAAAAGGCATACGTTTTAATTTATAAATGATATTTAGTCAACTAAGTTGGCATCCTCATTGGAAGGTACTGAAATGTAGTCGCTGTTATTTTGTAAAAATGAATGTAAAAAAAATTGTTCTTACCTAATTTAGGTCTTGTTAATCATAATTTTGATAGACAATAGTAAAAATATCATTTTTCATTAAAATGTAGGCATAATACCATTACCCAAGAACGCACCCACCTTATGCTTTTTTTGTTTTTTTCGTTTTTCATTTAGTTTGCTTTACTGCGGGGTAGAGAGCATTTTTCTTAGCTTTAGTTTGCACCCATCCTCACCAATCATTAACTCAACTCCTCCTTCATTATCAACACCCCTCTTTCCCCTGCACGCATCAGAATCGAATATTGAGTATAATAATATTCTGTGTGTGGAAGAAAATTTGAAAAGGCCACTCTAAATCTTTGTTCTTTTTTATTTGGTAAATCTCTCTACCCCCTTTTGATTTTTGGTTATTTTGGTCTTTCCACACCATTATTATACTCAATCAAAATTGGCCACAGTAATTAATTATGATCTAAATTATTATATTGGTCAATATGTGGAAGTAGGTTTAATGTGTTGAGCATTTGTTTGAGATTAGCCAGTATAATCAATACTGGCCACACCTTTGTTAATCAGAATCCGCCAAAATATCTGCCAGGGACCTAAATGCTGATTGTTACTAGTGTATTAAAAGGAAATATATCTTCAAGACTGTTCAACACCTTGGAAGAGTCGCTGCATCATCAATAATTTCTAGAAATTTCTTTTTAAACATACCAGATACCAAAAATAGCCCAACTTAGAACACCATTGATATGTTTGATCAGAATTTAACGCCTGTGTTATATCCTATTCTGCAGCAGGAATAATTGGAGTAACCTAATAAAGTCTAATGCGGTCTTAAATTATAATTTTTATGAATTGGGACAAATATGTGTCATTACATTATGGTTACTAACTTTTTTGGTACTATCGTCTAACCAAACTGGAAGTACTACCAGAATTTTGCAAACTATGATCTTTTGAATATTCAAATTAAAAAAATACTGGCTAACCTCAAACTAAAATGCCGAATCAATATCAACTTCCACAACAACACGATTCTGTATGTCCTGCAGTCCTGGCTATGCACGAGACGATCCTGAAATGTCCAACTCCCGGATGCAACGGTAGAGGGCACGTATCTTCAAACAGAAATTCACACAGAAGCCTTTCCGGTTGTCCCACAGCCGCAGCCAATAAGCAAGCAGCTCGGGAACAAAAATATCATACGAACTTGCAGAAAATCAAATCGCCTTCTAATTCGCCTCATTTTATCGGTAAGACACCCGCAGAATGCTCTTTTTTCCTTGCTTTAATGTCGCCTTTAGTTTGCCCTAAATGTAACGTGAAGTTTGTCCAACATAACGAAATGTATGTTATTTTTCCGAAGGTGGTGATTTCCCTTCGAATTACGAAAATAAAAGGTCTCCTACTTCGGAAGACGTCAAGCCAAATTATATAGTAAACTACGGCAACACGCCTACAAGTACTGCAGAAGACAACAAGGCTCCGTACGAGCAGTACTACACGAAAACGAACCCTATCAAACCGGATCCAATGAAAATTCCTAAAGCGGAAGTAACGACCAGTAATTGTTGTAACATCAGCGGCCAACAGGGGGAGCTACTCGTGCCCAAAACTGAAATGCCTAGTTCTTGTAGGTAAGATAAAATTGCAAAAGATTCAACCAAAAGACTGTTAATATTGACTTAACTTGTTTATTCCTAATTCTAGGTCACCGCCGCCAGGCATTAGGTCTGGATACGAACCCTACATAAATCATGATTCAAATTCGTCGTCGATGTCCAGTATGGATGCCATGAATTCTAGAAATCAGCACCAAATTCATCATAATGCTCCACATTTGGGACCTCACCATAATCAGCAACAACCAGGGTAAGATTAGCTTTGAGTTAATAATATTGGGACATTTCTCTTAGTATCTTTGAATACATGAGTATGTCTCTTCAAGCTTTGTCCACATCGCTGCTAGGCTGCCTCTAGGTCTTGTACTTTCATAAAAACTGAATTTATACATTTCCCTTAGGTTTTTTGAACATATTCCTCTTCAAGCTCTATCCACCTCATTGCTGAGCTGCCTCTAGATCTTTTACATTTATAAGAACACTATTTGTAAATTTTTATTATGGTTTAAGAACATACGCCTCTTCAAGCTCTGTATATATCATTGCTGGACTGCCTCTAGATCTGTTACATTCATAAAAACTTAATTTGTACATTTCTCTTAGGGTTTTTGAACATATGCCTTGTCAAAATCTGTTTACCTCATTGCTGGAGTGAATCTAGATCTCTTACATCATTTGCACATTTCCCTTACGACCTTTTAGCTCATCCACTTTATTTCTGGACTACCTCTACGTCTTTCACATTCAAAACTCGATAGTCCTCTTCTATTTATTTATTTTCCTTCCGGATACTACTGTCTTGTATTTTCTAAAATATATATCCAATTTAAAGGTATAATATGGATCACCAATTGCCTCACCGGTCACCTTACCACCAGTCACCGATGTCGGAAGAGATGTACCACAGGGAACGATCTTACGCGGAAATGAACGAATCGATTGGAGGTAATGGAATAGCCAGGCCTGTAGTAACTTACTCTAATGAAATAGCTAATAGAACCTACGAATCGGGATTAATAAATTCAGCGGGACACAGGCCGTACGATCCTGGTACTAACAGTTTTGAAAGGTAAATAATAACTGCATGCTTAATGTTATAAAATATCTTATTTGGGTGTTTATTTCTATTCTAGGTACGACTCTAGCCAATGTGTCTCGTTACAACAACCTCTAGGACCTCCGAGAGTTCCACCTCAAGGTATGTACGGTTATATCGAAGAGCAGCAGGAGCAAAGGTACCAACAGGAAGCTGCTGCGGCTCAACAACACCAGATAGTAGTAGCAAACGCACAGAATATGATGAAAACCGAAGAACCTGAGTCCACCGGACCTCTATATCCAAGGTATGTTGCTTCGTAACTTTAATAACTTTAGTAACTCTTCAATCGCAAAATTAATTGGAATTCAAAGATATTTGTGGTAACTCAAGAAGTTTTGGACAAGGAAAACAAGAAGATCGATTTATTCGGTCATAAGTTCTTAGAGAACTGACGGTACCTGCTGCAGCTTAGGCTAGAAGGTTGGAAGATCACAATGGTACTTCAATTTCACCAGATACGTCAAAATTTGTGACGTTTCATCGGAAGCACCTATGGACCTTGTTGGTTTAAGATAAGGCTCACAGGTACATTAGAGAGTATTTGGAAGACCAAGATAATATGGAGAAAATGTCCAATAACTAAACACTGTTGGTGTTCAATTATTAGAGTGTCTACATAGAACCTGAGTATAACGAAATAGAATTCCTAACCTTACTTAATTTAAGAATCATTTGTTATTAAGAATTTCCGAATAATTTTGCTGGTGAGTGAATGGCTCATCTTTTTTTAACGTAATTTATTGAATCTAAATTTTTCTACGCAATAATCATGCCTTCGGGACAACCATCTATCATTTCTGACCCATTTTCGTTTGAATTTTCCAGACCAATGTACCAGTACGACGCTTCGAGCGGCGGCCCGCTTCCCGTGGGCTTTTCAGCAATTAACTTATCTGTGAAATGTGTGACAACGGCCCACGCTCAAATGAAGGGTCCGCACACGTCTCCTGGGGGCACCGTTATCGATCTGTCGACGTCCAGTGTCACCACTACCAGCCCACAGGTGAGCGAGCAAATGTTATACAGGTTGATATGAGCTTGTTTGCGAGTTAAACGTAATCTAATGATATGTCTGAATAATGGTCCTTCGAGCCGTATTTTTTTTTATATTAAGAAACTGCCTTTTAACGTACTATCATAATATTCATTTTCTTTTAAAAATAGTAGTTATATAATTTGTAATTATGCAATTCAAATAGAAAACTGAATCGCTCTATACAAGCGGGACATCGCTAGTGTCAACTCGACGAGGATGTTAGTATAACCGCAAAGCGAATGATGACATTTAATAGGTCGTTTGATTGTTTATCTCCTGAAATGCGGTGTCAAGATTATCCCACTTCTGATTCATTCGAATCAGTGCCGTACACGGATTTCCTTATTATAAAATCAAAAATATCGTTCCAAATTTGACGATATTATGTTATTTGATATGTAAAACGATGTAATAATAACAGGACGGTTAAACATCTTTTTGACGGACATTTGAGTAAATACTAAAAAAGAAAAAAGACCATAATAAATCAAATAATTTTTTAATTAATTTTTAATTATTATTTTTAATTAATTTAATATTATTCCAGATATTTTTTTTTTGTTAATTTAGAAATGTCTTATAATATATCAAAGTTCCTTTTTAGGTCCTTGGTTGCTTAAAATTTATCAAAACAATATATTCGCAAGTATTAAACTATAGTTTTTTGCTTAATTTTGTTTCAATTTCAGGTAGCCTACAGTTCCCCTCACTACGGCGGAGCGGGGCAAAGGGTGGGCGGCAGTCCCCAAGCCGCCGCCAGCCCCCACCTTTCAGCGAGTCCTCAAGTTCCCAGTCCCCAGGGACAAACCTTGGATCTGAGTATCAGCAGGCTATCTCATAGGTAACGTTTTTTATTAAATTTTTATTAGATTTTAATTAGATTTTTATTCGATTTTTATTCGATTTTTATTCGATTTTTATTCGATTTTTATTCGATTTTTATTCGATTTTTATTTGATTTTTATTCGATTTTTATTCGATTTTTATTCGATTTTTATTCGATTTTTATTCGATTTTTATTCGATTTTTATTCGATTTTTATTCGATTTTTATTCGATTTTTATTCGATTTTAATTCGATTTTAATTCGATTTTTATTCGATTATTATTCGATTTTTATTCGATTTTTTATTCGATTTTTATTCGATTTTTATTCGATTTTTATTCGATTTTTATTCGATTTTTATTCGATTTTTATTCGATTTTTATTCGATTTTTATTCGATTTTTATTCGATTTTTATTCGATTTTTATTCGATTTTTATTCGATTTTTATTCGATTTTTATTCGATTTTTATTCGATTTTTATTCGATTTTTATTCGATTTTTATTCGATTTTTATTCGATTTTTATTCGATTTTTATTCGATTTTTATTCGATTTTTATTCGATTTTTATTCGATTTTTATTCGATTTTTATTCGATTTTTATTCGATTTTTATTCGATTTTTATTCGATTTTTATTCGATTTTTATTCGATTTTTATTCGATTTTTATTCGATTTTTATTCGATTTTTATTCGATTTTTATTCGATTTTTATTCGATTTTTATTCGATTTTTATTCGATTTTTATTCGATTTTTATTCGATTTTTATTCGATTTTTATTCGATTTTTATTCGATTTTTATTCGATTTTTATTCGATTTTTATTCGATTTTTATTCGATTTTTATTCGATTTTTATTCGATTTTAATTCGATTTTTATTCGATTTTTATTCGATTATTATTCGATTTTTATTCGATTTTTTATTCGATTTTTATTCGATTTTTATTCGATTTTTATTCGATTTTTATTCGATTTTTATTCGATTTTTATTCAATTTTTATTCAATTTTTATTCAATTTTTATTCAATTTTTATTCAATTTTTATTCAATTTTTATTCAATTTTTATTCAATTTTTATTCAATTTTTATTCGATTTTTATTCGATTTTTATTCGATTTTTATTCGATTTTTATTCGATTTTTATTCGATTTTTATTCGATTTTTATTCAATTTTTATTCACTTTTTTGTTCATTCGATTTTGCAGTGGCGTGCGACCGGTAGCGTCTTTCGCTTCAACGCCGGGAGGGGGGCCAGTCTTGGCACCCGGAGCGGGATACAGTCGTGAGTCTACACCGGACAGCGGAGGCAGCCATTATATGGATGCCTACAGGGATTCTGCAGGTAAATATGTTAACTTCAATTATTTTATTATTTATAATTCTTTGTAATATTAATTTCTAAAAAAAGTTTATTAAAATATTGAACAACCCCCTATGTGTTGCATAGGAAAAGTGCTTAGAAAATATGTACAAAAAGAAAATCCTGTTAATAAAATCCCTATAAAAGTTCCTACAATAATCCCTGTGAAAAATAATTAAAAAATAACTATAAAAAAATATTTTCAATAACTATTTGTAAAAATGCCTGTAGGAAAAATTCCTGTAAAAAATACATGTAAAAATAACACTGTAAAAACCCCCTTGGAAAAAACATAGAAAGCCAGAGAAACTATAGAAAAAACAGTAAAGAAAATGCTTTTCATAAATTATAAAACGAAAGCATTTCTTATACCTATAAAGTTAACTAATTTAGCTAAACATAATAAGAAAATATGTACGAAAGGCTTCCAGAAAAAATTGACTCTGAAAAACTTGTTAAAAGTATTTTATTAAAAAATTTAACAAATCCCTGTAAAAAATATATGTGTAAAGATCCCTGTAGGAAAAAATTCCTGTAAAAGACCTGTTAAAAGTCCCTGTTAAAAATCCCTGTTAAAATTTCTGTTAAAATCCCTGTTAAAATCCCTGTTAAATCCCTGTTAAAATCCCTGTTAAAATCCCTGTTAAAATTCCTGTTAAAATTCCTGTTAAAATCTCTGTTAAAATCCCTGTTTAAATTGCTGTTAAAAATTCCTGTAAAACTCTTAGTAAAAATCTAAGAAAAGATCCTAAGAAAATTCTAAAGAACATTCCTTTGGAAATAGCAATATTGTTTGATAAAATATACAACAAAAGCATTTTATATCTATAATGTTAACTATTTTAGCTAAACATATTAATAAAATATGTACGAAAAGCTTCCAGAAAAAAATTGATTCTCTGTAAAAAAACTTGTTAAAAATATTACTAAAAAATCATTTTACTAAATCCCTGTAAAAAATATATGTAAAGATCCGTGTAGGAAAACTTCCTGTAAAAACCTGTAGCAAACCTGTTAAAAATACCTGTTCAAATCCGTGTTAAAAATCCCTGTTAAAAAGCACTGTTAAATCCCTATTAAAATTTGAGTTAAAAATCCTTGTTAAAAATACCTGTAAAAATCGTAGTAAAAACCTAACAAAGGACCCGAAGAAAACTATAGAAATACTATAAAGATCATTCCTTTGGATTTTATATCTATAATGTTAACTACTTTAGCTAAACATTATAATAAAATATGTACGAAAAATATTTCCAAAAAAATCACTTTTACTAATCCCTGTAAAAAATATCTTTAAAGATACCTGTAGGAAAACTTCCTTTAAAAACCTGTAAAAAAAACTGTAAAAACACTTTAAAAACCTGAAAAAAACCTATCAAAAATACCTGTTAAAAAACCTGGTAAAAATCACTGTTAAAAAATCTCTGTTAAAAATCCCTGTAAGAAATCTTGGGAAAAAACCTGTAAGGAACATTCCTTTGAAAATAGCAATAATAACAATGTAATAAAATATACAACAGAGGCATTTTATAAATGAGAATCATTTTATTTTGTTCATATTCTACGTGTACCTACATGGATGCATAAAAATAGCATTGTTCTTAGTTCGTTATTAATGAGTAGGATGTTAAATATTTAATGAAACCATTAAACGCATTAATACTGCTTTATTAACGGGGTCATTTTTCATGAATAAAATACCGGGGTTGTTCGAACATTTCTCTCATTTTTTATGTTGATCTTTCGACTATCCTTTGATAACGCTTAATAATAAATGAAACTAGTACAGTAATTCAAGTATTAGAAATTGGAAAATTGACGTTTAAAAACTTTAATTTTTTTATAATTGTCTTTACGATTTCATTTGTCGATCATCAAAATCATTACTTAAAATACTGGATTTACTTCTTAGGGCCAGTTACGTTAATAATACAGTTTAAAGTTAGGTTTAACTAAAATTTGTAGTTTAAACTGAACGTATACAACTAGCTCTTAATAATATACCTACTTGAGTGTTTTTGTTTCTTTCTGATTACTTATTTTCTTCGTTTTTCTTCATCTTATAGGTTATGGTCCTATGAGTCCGCACCCGGGCTACGGTATGACGACGGTAGGCGGCGATTACGCGTCGAATCCCTACTCCCCCTATCCACCGGGCGGATATTCGTGCGCGGGAGGATATCCCGGACCCGTTACCACCGGATATCCGGTACCGCCGGGCGGATACTCGCCCAGCGCCTGCTATTCGATGCCCCCACCACAGCATTCGTTGTCGCAGCATGACAAGTCGCCAAACAAAGACAGGTAATGTAAATTTTAAAAACTGATATGTCGAAATTCTATGAAATTAGAAAATATATGACAAAATAACTACCCCTCGCAATTTTTGGATCTTAAATATATATAAATAATGATAAATATCAAAAATATAAGACATAATAAACTCCCTAGAATTTGTTTGTCTCTTAAAACTATATAAATAATGAAACATATATAAAAATATATAAATAATGAAAAATATCAAAAATATATGACAAAATAAATATCCTAGCAAATTTTTGTATTATAAAAATATATAAAAAATGAAAAAAATATCAAATATACATAACAAAATGAATAACCTAGAAAAATTTTTGGCTAAAAATATATAAAAATATATAAATAATGAAAAATATTAAAAACATATAAAATAATAAACCACCTAGCAAAAATATATTACAAAATAAACACCATAGCAATTTTTTGTCTCTTAAAACTATATAGATAATGAAATATATAAAAATATATAAATAATGAGAAATATCAAAAATATGTGACAAAATAGACACCCTATCAATTTTATGCCTCTTAAAAATATACAAATAATAAAAGATATCAAAAATATATGACAAAATAGACATCCTAGCAAATTTTTGTATCTTCAAAATATATAAAAAATGAAAAATATCAAATATACATAACAAAATGAATAACCTGGGATTTTTTTGGCTCCTAAAAATATATAAAAATATACAAGTAATGAAAAATAAATAAAACATATAACATAACAAACCACCTAATAAAAATATATGACAAAATTAACACCCTAGCAACTATTTGTCTCTTAAAAATATATAAAAATTAATAATGATAAATTTAAAAAACATATGATAAAATAAACACCCTAGCAATTTTTTGACTGTTATAAATATATAAAACTATATCAATAATAAAAATTACCAAAAATATTCACCCTAGCAATTTTTTGTCTCTTAAAAATATATAAAAATAAATAATTTTAAAAATATACGACAAAATAAACACCCTAGTAATTTTTTGCTTCTTAAAAATATATAAAAATAAATAATGAAAAATATCAAAGATAAATGACAAAATAAACATAATTTTTGTCTCTTAAAAATATATAAAAATAAATAATGAAAAATATCAAAAATATATGACAAAATAAGAACCCTAGCAATTTTTTGTCTCATAAAAATATATAAAATTGTATAAATAATTAAAAATATCAAAAATATATGACATAATAAACCACAATAGCAAAAATATATGACAAAACAAATACCCTAGCAATTTTTTGTGCCTTGAAAATATTTAAAAATAAATTATCAAAAATATATGACAAAATAAACACCCTAGCAATGTTTTGTCTCCTAAATAATAAAAAATATCAAAAACATATGACATAATAAACCACCTAACAAAAATATATAGAAAATAAACAGCATAGCAAGTTATTGTCTCCTAAAAATATGAAAGTATATAAATATTGAAAAATATGAAAAATATATGACATAATAAACCATCTTTTGTGGAGTGAAAAATAAAAAGTGGCTCTCATTTTTATTGTAAAATTTAAAGGGTGCTACCTGCGGTACCTTACACACATTCAAAAAAAAATAACTTTTTTGAGCCACTCTGTATTTAACTTTTAAATAAAAATTCTTGTTCTCCAACGTCTTTTATCTAAAAAAAAAGATTAGATTAGATTTGAGCAGCCGTTTTTGAAATATCTGGATCTGTACAAGGTAGAAATTTTTGTCTCTTAAATATTATATTAAAATAAATAATGAAAAATATCAAAAATATATGACAAAATAATTACCCTAGGAACTTTTATTCTCTTAAATATATATAAAAATAATAAAAAATATCAAAAACATATGACAGAATAAACACCCTAGCAATTGTTTGTCTCCTAAATATATATATATAATTAAAATGTCAAAAATATTGACATAATAAACCACTTAGCAATTTTGTGTCTCTTAAAAATATATAAAAATATAGAAATAGTGAAACATATCAAAAATATATGACAAATTAAAAATCCTGGCAATTTTTTGTCCTTTAAAAACAATTACTAGTTAAGTACTTAAAATTGAGAAAACCCTTAATCTCTAAAACTTTCTGTTTCTACTTTGATATATGGCAACCGTGTAAGTTTGTTACATAGGATTTTAAACTATTAATTTATTTTACTATCCCTATTCGGCTGATAAATATTACTCTACTTACAGCAAATCCAAATTCTTTCAGCACAAATCGCTGTTCTTCGTTTTTTTATCTACCAGTTTTGACAACCCCCATTGACAGCTACCATCGACAAGATCAACTCCGAACCCGCGTTCGAAAAATGTGGCTGTGTTCACACCACACAGCGCTCGACAAATACAAAAATAGGTTCCGTGAGGCTGCAACACAAAATACACTAAACTGTATACCAACCGATACGAACCTTTGCAAATTCTCAGCTTTTTCAAGTATTCTTTGGTTTGTTTTCACTTTGGAAATATGGGGGTTTATATTTCATAATTTCGTAGTGGTTTTTCGGATCTCAACCGATTTTTGTGACTTCGCTTTCTTTTATAATATTAACTGAAAAAAAAACCTTATTATTAGTTTTTTCTTAAAATGTTTTGCTTTCTATTAATGTAAAAGTAAGCTTCTATCATTCCTTCTATGCTCTAGTTGAGGCTTTAAACTAATAACAGACCCAAAATCCGTTTCCTTCATGTTTAAAATAAAATAAAAAATGAAAAGTTTTTAAGATGGCGACTAGAGCTAGCTTACTTTAGCGAGCACCGAGAATACTGTCAGCGATACATTTAAATATAGCCAGTGGACCATTTTTGGTTTTAATCCCCATGTTTTTCCAAATGCCCGTCTCCCTACAATGAAAGACATTTTACATTTGTTGGTCACTTTTTGTAAGTGTTGGTTCCAAGTAAGTTTGCTATCTAGGATTAGACCCAGACATTTTACTTAGTTCGTTTTGTTTAGCCTTCCTCCTCCAAACAGTCGGAGTTTCTAAAACCTCCAACCTTGTTTTCCAAGTTAAGGTTATGAGTTGTGCCTTGTCAGAGTTTCCCAAGAGGTTTTTCCTAACGCACCACATTTCTGTCAGCCTAAGAGCTCTTTGCATGAGTTCAAAGACTGTGGTTTGGTGTTTCCCTCGGATAAGGATGTACACCTTATAATCCAGAAGGAAATGGTCAAGTTGAAAGATACAACGGAATTATTTGGAAAACTATAAATTTGGCTTTACAGTCAAATTTATTAAAAACTACACAATGAAGCTAGTATTAGATGACGCTTTGCATTCTATTCGCTCCTTACTTTGTACCTCTATAAATTGCGCTTCTCATGAAAGGATGTTCCCTTTTCCAAGAAAATCTACTTTTGGAACTGCTATTCCTTCGTGGCCACCAATTCTAGGTCCAGTATTTATAAAAAATCAAGTCCGAAATAGTAAGTTTGATTCTTTAGTAAAAGAAGCTGAACTTGTAGAAGCAAACCCTGATTATGCCACAGTAAGATACCTGGATGGAAGAGAATCTATTGTTTCCCTCAAACATTTGGTCCCAAGAGAAGACTTAAATCTATTAACTTATAACAATAACGAAACTCAACAAAGTAGTCAAGATATTACAGAAAATATTGCCAATATCCCATCTCCTAGTTGTTCCAGGATTCCCGATATTTACGAATCTCCCAATACTTGTATCTCAGAAACTCGTATTCCTGATAATCCGGTCACCCTTGTATATGACGACAATCCAATCGATTTTGTTCAGCAACCTTCTATCATCCAACAAATTCGACATCCAAGAGAAAGAAGACCTCCAAAATATTTAGATGACTACGTTTCAAAATAATGCCGGGGAGAATGTAATGGAAAACTGTGTTCGTGTTTTATATTAGTTCTGTACATTCTGTATGGTTTATTTATTCGTTGTTATAGAGTTGTCATATTATTTACCGTCACTAAAATTCTGTTCAATAAAGCCTAATTTCAGAAGGTATTTTCATTACAAATAGCTTATCCACACCAGTATCTTTGGGTAACGTGTCAACCCAACAGTTTCTTTCTATTTGAAACGTAATTACGTGATACTATATGAAAAAATAGCGATAATAATATTTTTTACCATAAAATGTCTGCTTTCTATTTTATATCAAATTAAACCATATATTTTAGCCTATCTTCTATTTTCGTGGTTTTTCATTTCCCTGCATTCTAAAAAGATGCCATTGTTAAGAAAGCTGTTGCTTTTTAATAAAGTTTTAAATTATTTTAATTAAATAACATTTCAAAGTCCCCCCGTAATCGCATAACCACATTAGTATCATCGGCTAATGTACCATTCTAACCATTTTTTGGCATTTGAAACATAATTACGTGGTTAAGTAAAAAATATGTCATTATTTCTGCTTATAATTTTCTTATTATTTTATATGAATCTATTTTCGTGGTTTTAATTTATCAACCACTCTATACTCTTAAAAAGTTACCTTTTAATAACGATTCAAATTATTCTATTGAAATAACATTTCGGCGTCCCCCTGTAATCTCGTGACCGCACCATTATCATCCGTTAAAAGTGCCAACCCAACCGTTTTGGTAATGAGAATCGGAATAAAATAGATACCTGTGTCAATGACGTATACCTACTGCGATAAATACCTACGGACGTTTACAAAAAGAAATTATGCTTTTAGTAATGCATTGAAGTTTAATAATGATAATTGTGCCGTTATCATCGCGATTTTATCTAACACGTTGCGTCCGTTTGGGTGATAAATTTGACTGAAGACCAAGGAACGTGTCTATAAATATTCCTAGACGTAAAATTCGGGTAAAAAAGCGAGAAAATCGAATAAGAAATGGAAGAAAATGGGTATGACGTTTTGAATTACTTTTTTTGACAGTTCGAATCTTTTATGCCGGCTATATTTAAATTCGGTTTATTTACACTTTGATATAAATTTAGATTTTAAACATTGTACCGGCGCGTGTTTATTTTAAAATAATCGAAAACACTTTATATAAGTGCAATTATATTTTAAAAGTTATTCAGTTTGTTTACAATCATTTTAAAGTGCCAGTTATTTACTCTAGAACCTACCTAATTAATCATTAGTAATAATACTTTGTACTTATCGTTCAAAGAAAGTTTTTTCTGTCTCTTTCTAACAACTTAAAATAAATTTTGAGGTTATAGAATACGAGGGAAATGGGATAGTTTTATTTTAGTCTTTATTTCGTATATGTTTATAAATTGTAACATATCAATATGGTCGGAGTATAGAATTAGAAGTAGATGTAGGTGCCTGATCAAGGTCCAGTCCTGAACCAAATTTTTGGTAACCAATGAAGGTATTGGAAGCAGCTTGGGGGAAACGGTTCACTGATCTGTATAAAATAATACAGATCAGTGGAACGGTTATAGCATAGCCCTCATAAAGTCTAGATACCGCTTGGCGTATGCTGTCAATACAAAAAAATGACCCCATTCATGCTGGCTCCCATGATGGGTAAATTTATGTTTTGGCTAAACTGATTTTTAGTTTGTGTGTACTGGAGTGCGTTTAGAAACCCCGCACGGCGCGTCTCACCACATACATTAGAATAGGGTCCAGACGCGCCGTGCGTGGTTTCTAAACGCACTCCTGTAATACGTGAACACCGATAATCTGTACTTTGTTATTAGTTATAAGTCTTTTGAATAAAAGACAAAATATTTCTGTTTTTATTAACTGAACAAATAATATTTTATTTTATTTGTTTACTATTAAAGTATATTTTTTCTCAGTTATTACATGTAAGAAAATAAAGTATAAAACATAGAAACTAATAGGTACCTATATAGAACGGAACTAATATTTAAAAGAAAAACCTGATCAACGGTTTTTAAAAATTACGATTTTAAACCATTTCTTTGGCATTTTATTTCCAAAGGTGTACTAAATTTCTAAACTAATGCATTCAAATACTTTTCTTTAAATGAATAAATAAAATCTCACCAAGAAAGGTTAAAAAATTCAAGTACCTAATTTGATATATCATATATTGTGTTTACACTCATGTTGTTTACTAACAATTCATAAATGGGGTGGTAATATTAATAATAATTTTGTTGCCAACAATTTTCCTTTCATATGGGCATTGACATCGCATCCTATGATGAGTTGGAGGTTAGCTCTTGCTGCATATGAGACTATTTCGCCTATTATATGCGGGGAACATAGCTCCTCGCCTGGGAAATATGCAGAACAGATTAGCCATCTTTTTGTTCCTTCCTCTGTCGGCGTAGTTTGGAGAGCTGTAACAATATCAGCGGTGCACAGCACCGGTATTAGTACACAATTTACCCTATTGTTATATAAAATACATTCTTGTGGTCTTTTAGACCTTTCGTTGTACAAAATCTTACCTTGATTGGGTTTTAGGCCTGCTACCCTCCCGCCATGTAACCAGGGTTCTTGCAAGAGGACCAAATCTCTTCCCTTCCCTCTTTGTCGAACCTCCTACATACTGTAGCGGTGGCCGCCTTGGCATAATGGAGGTTCCCCTGAAAAACCCTGATCGATGTGCTCAGTTCTATAAACTGGGCAGTTTGTCTGCCTTCTTAGAGGCCTCTCCAATTTCCATAGGTGCAGTCACCTCTTGTGCTTCTTGCCTCTTGAAGGGACTGACCACACTGTAGGAAGACTCCACCTCGTCGTCCTCTACCAAGGTTTCTTCCTCTGAAGAGGACTCTTTGGTGTCCTCTTCCCTGCTGAGGGAAGACTTCACCTCGTCGTCCTCTGCCAAGGTTTCTTCCTCTTTGGTTTCCTCTTTCCTGCTTGTGCCTGGGTTATTCACCTTTTCGTCAGGTTCTTGGTCATGTCCTCCTTTGACTCTGAATTTAAATCTTCCTAGATCATAGTAGGGGGACATATCCAGCTTTTTCAGCTCTTCTAGGGATGCAGGATCCATCAAAAAAGCCCACGTTTGACCTTTTGCCGATGGGGTTTTACCCCACACCGTCCAAAGGTGTGTATTTAGCCCATGGTTGCTATTTTCATTCTTTTGAGGATTTTATTCCCTTCGGGCCTTTGTCCTCTTTCGTCGAAGATGAATGTTGTGCAGGCTAGTGGCCTAGGGATATCGTTACCCTCCAACTCTTTCAGGGTTGCCCCTTCCCAAGTTTGGATGGTTGTGACGATGTCCCGCATCCAGTCTGCACTGGTTCGGTTCGCGCAAGTCATGACCAGGTAACCTGGCTTGTGGCTGCACTTTGCGAACCTTACCTGTGTTCCCTCTGTGGGGATTTTGTCGTGGGCCTCGGAGATCGAGTCTTGGACTTTTAATAGTCTCTCTGGACTCATTTTGATATCCGGGTACCCTATTTCTACCACTGCAACCTTCACTGAGGTAAGGGCCTCTTTGAACGAAACTTCGTCCGTCCTGGCCTTCTTCCTCAGTCGGCTGACCTGTGGTGGTGTTGCGTCTGTTGACCTTGGATGTTTTAGAGCTTTTGTGCCTTGCTTGGCAGCTTCTTTCGCCTTGTTGTCTTGACACTCTAGCCTCTGGGGCTTTTGTGGCTTTGTTTGGCCCCTTTGAAAATTTTCCTTGATCACCTGCCTTTTTGCGGCTGTGTAATCAAGGCCAGTTTTTAAGAGCTTCTTTAACCTTGTCCTTGAGTGTCCACCTAGAGGAGCTGAATGTACCTCGTTCTCGGGCATTTGGTCTACCTCTTCCAGGGAGGAGACGATGACTTTACGCCTCTTTACTAGCTTTTCAGCCTTCGCCAGAGACGTTGCCTTCGTCGTATCCCCTTTCGAGGTTTACGTTGTTGCCTTTTGTTGTTGCATTTCGCTGTTGTTGTATTTGTTGTTTTTAGAATATGATCCCACGAGTAGTATAGGGAAAAACAGTCCGCTACGGCAGAGCTCCGCATGCCGCAGTAAGGTCGTGATACTCTGTGAGATGACCCGGTATCCCAGAGGCTCCGTTTGCAATACCTTGACCCAGGTATCATTCAATCCTCGGCACGGGTCGCATTACGCCTTAACTTGGGGAGTTGGTTCGCGGCGACAGTTTTTGCAAAGGATTTTGGGAGTTTTTAAGTCCCCTCACCCTACTTATAGCTGCCACTAGCCACTGGTTGATATTTTGTATGCAATATTTTGCCGCCATTATTGTGGAAATCGCAGCTTTAAGATTCTAAACTTGCACCGATTCTGTCTTGTCAGTAGTGCCAACTTAAAATTTACCCATCATATTGGGGGTCAAAATTTTTTCACGATGCGATATCTAGACTTTCTAAAAGCTATGGGTTATAGTGATAAAAAGCAGTCCTTTTTCAGTATTTGTTTCGTCTTTATCTTTATTATAGTCATGGCAAATCTCATAAAATTAAAAAATTCAAACTGACTTAATATAGCATTTTGTTAGCATCGACGAGCTAATGTATAATACCAACGAAGACCATCCAATGAATAATACTAGCAATACTATAGACACTAAGGAGCTGGTTCTGTGTCCGACAGATAGCTGTGATGGCACTGGGCACGTATCTGGCAACTTCGCCACCCACAGAAGGCAAGCAACACTGTATTTTTACGATTGCAATTATGTGACGTCACAATTACTAAAAAAACCTCTTATTAAGTCCTAAAACGAACAAAATAAAAAGAGAAAAATAGTAAAATTTGTATTGATACCAAAAAAACTGTGACATCATTCAAATTGCCATCATGAAAGTCTTTTAACATCATTCCCTTCCTCTAACCAGTATTATATCAGGAAACTGGTATACAAAATCTATAATGACAGAAAATTACCTTATTTTCATCAACATTACTAACAGCTGTCAATCTTATACATATGTTCATTTGCTTTAACAATGTACAACTGAGTCAGTTCCTTAACAAAACGATACAAAACTTATTTGAACTTTATTATTTACAGCCTGTCCGGATGTCCCAGAGCCGACCGCTCCCAAATCCAGCCACATTCCCAAGAACTGAAATGTCCTACGCCCGGTTGCGACGGTTCGGGTCACGTAACGGGAAATTATTCTTCCCACAGGAGTCTGTCGGGTTGTCCCAGAGCCAACAAACCGAAGAGCAAACCCAGAGACGGTCAGGACTCCGAACCTTTGAGGTAAGTCATCTAAAACAATTTATATCGAGTAACAGCGGTTTATACATGCCGAAATTTAGTGGCCTCGGGACGGGACCCTGAGGTGCACCGAATATTTGTATTAGGGGTTTTCGGGGTTTAAAATTATGAATTGGTGGGTTTAAAGATATTTTTTGGGTAAAAAAATAATGGGAAATATTTTTATTTGAAAATTTAGATCAGTGCTTTGTTCCATGCATACAGATGCCCCATTCCAGGGTGCGATGGGTCAGGACATGCGACAGGGAAATTTTTGTCGCATCGAAGGTAATTTTTCTTTCATTTTTGATGTGCAGTGAAAAAAATGTGATACTAGAGAATAGTGCAGTAAAATGAAGCGGTTTTTAAGAAAATTTGTTTTTGGTTTTGAGATTTAATTTTAACGTTGTAGCTTTATTCAGAAAATACGAAAATCTTAATTAGAAAATTACCGAAAGATATACTGAGTTGTCTAAATAGAATAGGCAAATTTTTTACAAATATTTTTATTTAAAAGAAAAATATACAGAAAATTTTATATTTAAAATTAATTTTGTCCAGTAAAATTAGCTTCAATTTTGAAAACTATTTAAAAATATCAATTTCATCTTTATAAAAAGAATCAAAATATTCTTTTTTGCAATTGATTTAGCATATTATTATACAGAAAATCTCAGAGCAATATAGTAAAAATTAATCCCAACAAACACTTTGTTATGGCAAGTTAGCGGCCTTTAAACGTATGTACGTCACTTCAAATAACGGCCATTCTTTGAATGTCTGGCATTGACAAGTCGTCATTTTGTTATAACGGTCGGTAGTTGGTCGACGTCAGTCACTTTACCGGCACTAAGTAGTGAAAGGCCTTCAGATAGAGTCATAGCCAACAGTTTCCCATAATATTTCCTTCAATGGGCTTGCATAAGACTATAAGTTATGATGATGACCTTCAATAAATTCCAATACTAATAATTATCATAAAATATTCATAAGATATTCATAAAATATTCATATAATATACATAAAATATTAATAAAATATTCATGAATTATTATTCATAAAATATTCATAAAATATTCATAAAATATTCATAAAATATTCATAAAATATTCATAAAATATTCATAAAATATTCATAAAATATTCATAAAATATTCATAAAATATTCATAAAATATTCATAAAATATTCATAAAATATTCATAAAATATTCATAAAATATTCATAAAATATTCATAAAATATTCATAAAATATTCATAAAATATTCATAAAATATTCATAAAATATTCATAAAATATTCATAAAATATTCATAAAATATTCATAAAATATTCATAAAATATTCATAAAATATTCATAAAATATTCATAAAATATTCATAAAATATTCATAAAATATTCATAAAATATTCATAAAATATTCATAAAATATTCATAAAATATTCATAAAATATTCATAAAATATTCATAAAATATTCATAAAATATTCATAAAATATTCATAAAATATTCATAAAATATTCATAAAATATTCATAAAATATTCATAAAATATTCATAAAATATTCATAAAATATTCATAAAATATTCATAAAATATTCATAAAATATTCATAAAATATTCATAAAATATTCATAAAATATTCATAAAATATTCATAAAATATTCATAAAATATTCATAAAATATTCATAAAATATTCATAAAATATTCATAAAATATTCATAAAATATTCATAAAATATTCATAAAATATTCATAAAATATTCATAAAATATTCATAAAATATTCATAAAATATTCATAAAATATTCATAAAATATTCATAAAATATTCATAAAATATTCATAAAATATTCATAAAATATTCATAAAATATTCATAAAATATTCATAAAATATTCATAAAATATTCATAAAATATTCATAAAATATTCATAAAATATTCATAAAATATTCATAAAATATTCATAAAATATTCATAAAATATAAAATATTCATAAAATGTTCTTAAATATTCGTAAAATGTTATATTCATAAAATATTCGTAAAATATTCATAAAATATTCATAAGATATTTATTAAATATTCGTAAAATATTCATAAAATATTCATAAAATATTCGTAAAATATTCATAAAATATAAAATATTCATAAAATGTTCTTAAATATTCGTAAAATGTTATATTCATAAAATATTCGTAAAATATTCATAAAATATTCATAAAATATCCATAAAATATTCGTAAAATATTCGTAACATATTCGTAAAATATTCATAAAATATTCGTAAAATGTTATATTAGTAAAATATTCGTAAAATATTCATAAAATATTCGTAAAATATTCATAAAATGTTATATTCGTAAAATATTCGTAAAATATTCATAAAATATTCGTAAAATATTCATAAAATATAAAATATTCATAAAATGTTCTTAAATATTCGTAACATATTCATAAAATATTCGTAAAATATTCATAAAATGTTATATTCGTAAAATATTCGTAAAATATTCGTAAAATATAATATATTCGTAAAATATAAAATATTAGTATTAATAAAATATTCATAAAATATAAAATAAACATAAAATATTCTTAAATATTCGTAAAATTTTATATTCGTTAAATATTCGTATAATATTCGTAAAATATTCATAAGATATTCTTAAAATATTAGTATTAATATAATATTCATAAAATATTCGTAACATATTCATAAAATATTCGTAAAATTTTCATACAATATCCCTAAAATATAAAATGTTCATAAAATATTAAATATTTATAATATATAAAATATTCATAAAATATAAAATAAACATAAAATATTCCTAAAATGTTCTTTAATATTCGTAAAATGTTATATTCGTAAAATATTCTTATAATCGTAAAATATTTTTGGTGATTGGATGGGTTCGATTTTTCAGGGGTTGTAGAGGGCCAAAAGAGAAGATTTTTAGGGTTTTTTTAACTGTCTTTTAATCGTGTTGAACTGTGATTAACCGGAATAAACAATCGATATAAGGGTCGTTTGGAGTTTAATATCACTAAAAATTGACTTATATCCTTTTATCTTTCGATAACAGAAATATTCGGAAAATATTCGGAAAATATTCGTAAAATATTCATAAGATATTCATAAGATATTCATAAGATATTCATAAGATATTCATAAGATATTCATAAGATATTCATAAGATATTCATAAGATATTCATAAGATATTCATAAGATATTCATAAGATATTCATAAGATATTCATAAGATATTCATAAGATATTCATAAGATATTCATAAGATATTCATAAGATATTCATAAGATATTCATAAGATATTCATAAGATATTCATAAGATATTCATAAGATATTCATAAGATATTCATAAGATATTCATAAGATATTCATAAGATATTCATAAGATATTCATAAGATATTCATAAGATATTCATAAGATATTCATAAGATATTCATAAGATATTCATAAGATATTCATAAGATATTCATAAGATATTCATAAGATATTCATAAGATATTCATAAGATATTCATAAGATATTCATAAGATATTCATAAGATATTCATAAGATATTCATAAGATATTCATAAGATATTCATAAGATATTCATAAGATATTCATAAGATATTCATAAGATATTCATAAGATATTCATAAGATATTCATAAGATATTCATAAGATATTCATAAGATATTCATAAGATATTCATAAGATATTCATAAGATATTCATAAGATATTCATAAGATATTCATAAGATATTCATAAGATATTCATAAGATATTCATAAGATATTCATAAAATATTCATAAGATATTCATAAGATATTCATAAGATATTCATAAGATATTCATAAGATATTCATAAGATATTCATAAGATATTCATAAGATATTCATAAGATATTCATAAGATATTCATAAGATATTCATAAGATATTCATAAGATATTCATAAGATATTCATAAGATATTCATAAGATATTCATAAGATATTCATAAAATATTCTTAAAATATTCGTAAATATTCATAAATTGCTTTTTACCCTTTTCATTTACCTTTTTATGCACTATAATACAACATAATATAATGTTAAAACTTCTTTTAATTTTGAGGTTATCGATCTCTTTTTAGATATATTTGTAAGAAAGAGTTAAAAAGTCTTCAATGGTAAATCGATTGTTAACGTTACGAAACTTTAAAATAATCAAATAACTAAGAAAATCTGCACAAATGCATGAGACCTGATATTGGGACAATATCTGCTGGCCTATAAAAGTTCACTTTATGTGGGAAACAGTTAAATTACCTTTAAAGTTCTATGGAATATTAAGTTTAAAGGTCAACAACTTGCTACAACTTCAATGTTTGTTGGGATATTATAGTCCGGTAAAATTGACTTATATAGTCCGGTAAAATGAGGACTTGCCGTTATAGAAACCCAAAATTTCCGCACCGTTTTATTGTATGTTTTAATGTTTTGCACTTTTATAGTGCTACAGGCTGTCCCATAGCCAAGAAGCTCGCTCATATTCCTTCTTAGTATACAAAGTGTTGAAAATTAAAGCAAAATTGTGTTCTATCTCAAACAATGTTCTTATCGAAAAATGCAGATTTTCTTAATTTTCCGCACGTTTGTAGCGCAAGTGGTTGCCCCATAGCGAACAGGAACAAAATGCGAGTACTGGAAAGCGGTGGGTCCGTGGAACAGCACAAGGCGGCAGTGGCGGCGGCTACAGCGATGAAATTCGAGGGCGTGAATTGTCCCACACCCGGGTGCGACGGGACTGGGCACATAAACGGGTCGTTTTTGACCCACAGATCGCTGAGCGGATGTCCCGTCGCGGGGCAGACGGTCAAGAAGTCCAAGTACCCCGAGGATATGCCGTTTTATAAGGGATATACAGGTGAGGACAAGTTTTTTCTTATTGTATATTTTTTAAATTTATTGAAACAAAATATCGCGCTAACGTGATGTTTTTTTTTTTTAATACACCTTAATATGTTAGCATTATCTATTCGTTAAATTAAAGTACCTTCACGGTACATTTAAGTGATACAGTAATAAAAATTATCATTGTTTTTTTTTATTTAATATAGAAACGATAAAAATATGATTTGTTAATATCTTTACTCTAAATTATCCTATTTAACAATGAATAAAAATAAAATACTGCATAGGTACTATTGCGACTGATATTAGGGATTTCAACATTGTGTTTACAATGGTTGCCTAATGGCATACAAACGTTTGTTTTGTTTGGTTTGAATTGACATGTTAAAGTTAGTGTGTCAAGTTTTTGCCTCATAAACTACAAAAGCAATTTCAATTTACAATGTCCAAAGGCAATACACAACTGTCTGATAAACAGCCTTTGATAAGCCGGTTTCGCTCAGAATGGAGAAGGCGTAGTCCGTCACTGTTTTATTTTAGTTTGTTATTAAAAACTATGAATTTCTAAATTAACTCGTATTTTTAGAAAACAAAACCAAACACAGGGATTGTGTGTCATCAAGTAGTAACTTTTTAACTATCAAAATAAGTCACATAGTTTTGAAGCCCAAGTCTTATTGGTATACTATTATAATAGTATATAAATCTTGCTAGGAGCCCGCCAAAAAAAAAAGGGTTTTTAAAAACGTCATCTTCTTGTCAATCATCGCCTAATTACGAAAATCATAAAAACATCTACACACGGAATTATAGTAGAGCAGCAATATTTGTACAGGGCCACTACCTCCAATTATCACCGCTAGATATCACTAGCTGCCTAAGACATCAGAGAAATTCATAGAAATTCATAGAAATTCATAGAAATTCATAGAAATTCATAGAAATTCATAGAAATTCATAGAAATTCATAGAAATTCATAGAAATTCATAGAAATTCATAGAAATTCATAGAAATTCATAGAAATTCATAGAAATTCATAGAAATTCATAGAAATTCATAGAAATTCATAGAAATTCATAGAAATTCATAGAAATTCATAGAAATTCATAGAAATTCGAAGAAATTCGTAGAAATTCATAGAAATTCGTAGAAATTCATAGAAATTCGTAGAAATTCATAGAAATTCATAGAAATTCATAGAAATTCATAGAAATTCATAGAAATTCATAGAAATTCATAGAAATTCATAGAAATTCATAGAAATTCATAGAAATTCATAGAAATTCATAGAAATTCATAGAAATTCATAGAAATTCATAGAAATTCATAGAAATTCATAGAAATTCATAGAAATTCATAGAAATTCATAGAAATTCATAGAAATTCATAGAAATTCATAGAAATTCATAGAAATTCATAGAAATTCATAGAAATTCATAGAAATTCATAGAAATTCATAGAAATTCATAGAAATTCATAGAAATTCATAAATTCATAGAAATTCATAGAAATTCATAGAAATTCATAGAAATTCATAGAAATTCATAGAAATTCATAGAAATTCATAGAAATTCATAGAAATTCATAGAAATTCATAGAAATTCATAGAAATTCATAGAAATTCATAGAAATTCATAGAAATTCATAGAAATTCATAGAAATTCATAGAAATTCATAGAAATTCATAGAAATTCATAGAAATTCATAGAAATTCATAGAAATTCATAGAAATTCATAGAAATTCATAGAAATTCATAGAAATTCATAGAAATTCATAGAAATTCATAGAAATTCATAGAAATTCATAGAAATTCATAGAAATTCATAGAAATTCGAAGAAATTCGTAGAAATTCATAGAAATTCGTAGAAATTCATAGAAATTCGTAGAAATTCATAGAAATTCATAGAAATTCATAGAAATTCATAGAAATTCATAGAAATTCATAGAAATTCATAGAAATTCATAGAAATTCATAGAAATTCATAGAAATTCATAGAAATTCATAGAAATTCATAGAAATTCATAGAAATTCATAGAAATTCATAGAAATTCATAGAAATTCATAGAAATTCATAGAAATTCATAGAAATTCATAGAAATTCATAGAAATTCATAGAAATTCATAGAAATTCATAGAAATTCATAGAAATTCATAGAAATTCATAGAAATTCATAGAAATTCATAGAAATTCATAGAAATGTGGGACCTACAAACATTCTTAATCTACTTATTATTTGAATTAGAGTTCACATTGACAAACGTAACCATAGAAGGACATTTTAACTATTATGACATATGACATAACTGTTAAATAAAATTTAGGTTAGGTTAGGTTAGGTTCCGAATTTTAGTAGCTAATACTATAGTGATACTATGATACTATAATGATCTCTACAGATCAGTGATTGGTAGAATATTTAACGGTTTTTTATTTAATATATTCAGAATAAAAAAATTGTAAAGAAAGCATTATCCAGAACGTATTGTTAATTTTCCTATTAGTTTACAATAAATTGAAATATTGATTATAAAAAAATTCCTAATAATTGTCTAACCAAACAACAGTTATTCATTCTCACACTATTTGTCGTTGTATGCACAGACTTTATCAAAATTCGATTGCGATATATGGGGACTAAAATTTATTTTTAGACGTCTTCTTGCAGGTATAGAACAAAGTTCTAACGGGGGCGAAGATCTTATGACCCTCGAAGCGGAAATATCCGAATTACAGCGCGAAAACGCCCGAGTCGAATCGCAGATGATCAAACTCAAATCGGACATCAACGCCATGGAGAACCATTTGGGTCACAGCGAGAAAGTAAGTTCAATTTTATTTTCTTAAATTCAGTGAGCTGTAAGAAATATGTCTTTTTGTCTAGAGAAATCTGTTTCTTTTATTTATTTATCTATTCTTCTTCTATTTATTGTTTCCCATCTTTTTTCTTCTTCCTCTTTTCTTCCTTATTTTTCTTTTCTATAATTTATTTTAATCTTTTGCTTTATTTCTTGAAACAAAAACTCATATTTTAAATTAAAAAAAAATTATATTCTTCAAAATTGAAATTGTTTTTGGGGCCATAAAAAATGCTTAGGAAAGTACTGTTATATTTTATAGAAAAAAGACAAAGTGAGGTTAAAAAATGTCAAACAAGTTAGTAAATACTTGCAACTTTTATTGCCTTAATTTAAAAAATTTAAAATCAATTATAAGAATATAATTTATTATCCTTTGCTAATATTTTTATAGATATTGACTTATGACCTAATTTTGTAGTATGTAGTAGTTTTCCTAGCCTTTATCATGTGAAAGTTCTTTTAAAGTCTGTTCACCTAACCTCTCACATCACAATGTGTTCTGTGAGATAATTCTTCTAGCTTCTGACAATTCTGAGAGCTTTTTAAAGTTCCTCTAGCATCTAGTATGTTTAAGTCAGTTACCCCTAGTTATATGAGTACTCATGTTTTCAAATTGTTTCTTGAGCCTCTCACATCTTGAAGTGCTAGCCGAGAGTTACCCAACCTCTTTAATATCTTCTCAATCGCGAAATGTTCCTCTCGAAACTATTTGAAGAAGTTTCTCAGTATTTTATACTAAAATAAGTCAGATTCCAATTAATCGTTCTATTTCCTTCAAAGGCTGATGATAGAGACACTTTGACATAACTATTTGTCAGTCGAGTCAGCTGTAACTACGGTCGTTTAGCCAAGCTCAAATCTCTCAATTTACTGCAAACGACCCTTTTAGAGTTAGTTTATTCCGATTAGTGACAGTTCAACAACCCCCTGTCACGATTCAACTCCTTACTAACTGAACCCACCTTCATTGCGTTCGGTCTGCCAAGTTCCTTTAACTCCTTTAACACTTTTTACTCCAAACGACTCTTTTAGCGTTCGGTTTAGTCCGATTAGTGACAGTTTAACACGCTTAAATGTCATTTAAAAGCAACCTAAAAAACTCCGCTTTTGTCCCGCTCCAGCCCCTGACTATCCGAACTCGCCTCTTGTATTGGCCACAGCAACACTAGTTGTCATTTGTCATGCATATATCAAATGTCATTAATCAATTAAGCGTCACCCGTCATATGTCATCTGTCAAAATATTAGTAAAAGGAGCTCAAATTACAAAGGAACCTAACTCTTAGTTTCGTATCCGATCACAGCCACGCTGATATCATAAAAAACCAATTGGATCGTCTTATTAACTTCCCCCTCTCCTTCAGGAAACGCAAGCGTTGACGCAGCGCTCGAACAACTTGAACGAGTACTACGAGAGCCTGCGTAACAACGTGATAACGCTCCTCGAGCACGTGAGGCTTCCGGGTGGCGGTACGGCTGGACCTGGAGGTGTGGTGCCCGAAAAAATCGGTCAGGAAAACTTTGACAGTTACTTGAGCAAATTGCAGACGCTGTGTACGCCCGAGGGGTACTGTACCGACGAGAATCGTCCGCTCTACGAAACGGTCAAAAGCGCTTTGCAAGATTTCACGGTACTACCGACTCCCATTTAAGTATTTGTGTCGTTCCAGACCATTAAAGACATTAAAGACAAAAAACTCTGTGAGTGTGACGGTGCTATGGGTTTATTTTGTGTACGGGGTTTGCGAAAATTCATTTGAGACGCTTAAAATCACAATGATAAATGATTTTTTGCTGAAATGAGGCATTTTTACAAACCTCCTCTTTGCCAAAAACTTTTAAAATTACAGGAAACTGCCTTTTCGGTGGTTCCGGAGGTGGCTCCATCTGTTTGTCAAATTCTAAACGGACTTATATATATGCTGTTTGTGTCTAACAGATCACGCGGTATATATTGATCGAACACTGTAGAATTATTTCAAGAGTATAGCGATTTCGCCATTTTTAGTCCAAATATTAAAATTATTTTAAATATTTGATAAAAGTTAGTAATTTGTACGTTTTGAAGTCGTAAATTTTTGTATTATAAAAGAAAACCGTAATTTTTTGCTAAAAGCTAAACAAATACTCAAAAACAACTATCGATCCGATTTTCAACTGTCATTGAATCACGGAACGATTAAATCTGTTTTACGTCATCTGTCACTAAATAACAAGGTTCCTAAATCAAAGTAGGAGTTGTCTTTTCAGGGTTGCTCCGCAAATGACAGTTTGCTTCTTAATTGTAGTGACGTTTTTTTGTTAAAGAATTTGCAACTTAAAATTGCTACTAACTAACGTAATTGCCAATTGTCAGTGACAAACGGTGACAGTTGACGTATCAGATGCAATAAATCAATAAATATTGATGACAATTGACGTCTGTAATGTCAATTTTGATAATTTTTCATTTAGACAAATTACCTCTTTGAATCGATTCTGCAGTTTTCCATCAATCAAACCATCTAATACTTGTAGATGTCATGAATTTTTCACTAATATCCTCAGATGTACGTAAATTTAAATTGTGATTTTCTGTAAATAGCTAAAATATACAGGGGGCGACCAAAAACACTGTAGATATATTGCCATATATATTAAGTCGCAACCAAAAAAAAAAGAAAAATGTATCATATTAAACACTGATTGTAAATAGCTCGTATATAATTTGATTTGTACCTACTGTGTATAAAGTACGTTTTTTAGTTAGTAATTATTTATTGATTAGTTATTAATTCGTTTAGACCAATTTGTTTTTTATTATGTAAAATGCCCCGTTCGGAATGGTCGCAAAATAAAATCGATTGCAAAAATTGCAACTGGATTATTTCGAGCGGGCATTCTGCACTTGTTGTTTATTTTATACGAAACGTCCGCTGGAGTTGAGCGTAAGGACGTGCTGTATAACAAATTTGTATAAATCTAGAATTTTATCTTCTTTAGAAGAACTATTTTACTAAAAAGGCTCGAATCGTGTACAAGTTTTCAGTAATTAGTATAATTTTTTTAGATACTCTGTGATTATGTATACCTAGTCTTTATATAGGTAGATGAGAAAAAACATACTAGTGTTATTTGTAAGCGGACCTTCGTCAAAGGCGACGCGCTGTTTTTTCGGTTTTTTAGTGTGACTTGGTCCAGAAAATATTGTTCAGAAGGTCAATGTCGTTGACAAAAGGTTGTTTTGTGGGAAAAATGGCGCTAAGTCATCGTTATGTTGATTAAAATTTAATTATCATTCAATTTTGACGCAAAAAATATTAATGGGTCGCAAAAAATGGGTCGCAAAAAAAATAAGTCGCAAAAAATGGGTCGCAAAAAAATGGCGCAAAAATGGACGCAAAAAATGGGGCTCGTAAAAGGGGTCGCAAAAAATTGGACGCAAAAAACGCGTTGCACAAAAGGGGTAGCAAAAAATTGGTATCAAAAATTGAATTCAAAATAAAATTGGTTGCAAAAAATTAAAAATATCTTAAATTTAAGTATATAATGGTAAAAAAAATATGCTAAAAAGATAAAGTAATTTAAAAATTATTCAAAAAATAACAAGACCTCAAAAAATTGTTAAAAATATAAAAATCGTAAAGAAAAAAATTAAAGAGGAGAAGGACGAAAAAAACGTGAAAAACAAAATTTTCTGCACATTAAAAAAATACTGTGAAAATTGGTTTAATAATATAGATGGGAAAAAATGAGTCGTAAAAAAACGGGGTGCAAAAATCGAGGAGCAAAAAGTCGCAAAAAACGGGTAGCAAAAAAGAGGTCGCAAAAAATTGGTATCAAGAATTGAATTCAGAACACAAATGGTTGCAAAAAAATTAACAATATCTTAAATTTAAGTATATTCATTAATTGAAAAGAAAAAGTGAAAAAGCAAAGTGAAAATTGAAATGGAGAAGGAAAGCAACTATAAAAGTCGCAAAAAAATAAAGGTCGCAAAAAAATAAAGGTCGCAAAAAAAGTCAATCATTCTAGTCATAATAGTTCTAGTCAATGTTTGCTTCAAAACAACCTTTTGTCATGATGTCCAAAAGCAAACGAAGTGCAATAAGAGGTAATTTAAAAAAATATACAGCGTTATTAATAACGTCTTTGTTCTGTTATCGTTTTGCAAGTTATCTTTCGTTTATTAAAGTTATGATTCCTACTTTTATATACCGGTTGTCCCACGTTTCTACCGGATTGAGATTTTCCAAATAAAATTTATTTTCTGCGAGAAATACAGCATGTATTTAGTTTTACACTTTAATAAAAGTTCTGTAATTTGGTAAAATTCTACCGGTAGAAATGTTGGACAGGGACAACCGCCAGTTATTGTCCCATTCAAGGTGTTTTTACTGTGCTGTTTCCCAATTCCCTGACAACTTGTTGTGTACTGTGTAAATACTAATATGGATGATATATTCAAACTCATTATATTCAATTATTTGTTCACACCAAATATATATGTTAATATACATGTGTTGTTATTAAATAAAGTATTTGAAAGGTCTGTGGTATTTTCTTTGCATTTTCCCTAAACACCTTTAAGATAATTACAAGACACTATTATGTATTGATACACATCCAATAAACACAGTTAATCGGCACTGTAACTGGGCCTAGGGAGGCTTGCCGGATGTCGGACTCTACCCGATATACAAGTGCAGCTTCGGCATATAAGTAGGGCATGTCCGCCCAGCCGAATGTCGGCAGCTCACTACCAGGGCCGCTGAGAGCCAGGCCGGGCCCCAGGACAATTATCTAGATCGAGCCCCGTGAAACAAAAAACTGTTCTCCCTACTTCAATTACTTCTTCTTCTAAAAAAAAAAGATTCTCACATCAAAAAACTATTCTCCCTACCTCTCAATTGCTTCTTCTAAAAAAAAAAAAAGGTTAGCCGAAACTTAACTTCCCACTTTCATCTTGTGTCGTATTTCTCATGCAGAACACAAAATGCTGTTGTCGGGCCCCCTTACAGCGTTACCGGGCCACTATTTAAGCACGGGCCCCGGGAATTAGTCCCGGCTACCCCCCTCTAGTCGGCCCTGCTCACTACATATTGTAGCAGCGTTCATATATCAAGTTCGGCAAAGCCAAATATGGTTTACTGGGCAAACTGGTGACTAGACACTGACGAATAATGACGAGCTGACCCACAAAATATGGAAGAGACCTGGGGCCTATTTCATAAAACTACTTTGCATTTTGCATATTTTACTAAATTTATGCTTTATGAACGAAAACTTTAATGAATTAGAAAATAACATTTGATAAGCAATTTGAAAATTGAAAATGAAAAATGGATAATTTGCAAAGTTAAGGATGTTATTTTATAAAAGACAAATATTTTGTAATCGTAAATTTGCAAAATGCAAATTGAAAAATTGCCAAGTAGTTTTATGAAATAGGCCCTTGATCAAACGAAGGAATTGATTAAAAAATCCGTCGATTTTGCATTATCTTGAATGACAATGGTAATTTGATTGTGAAACTTAATTTTCCCGCCATTTTTGAAATACCTAGAGAACCGACAACATACAATAGGTTCTTTCGTTCGCTGTTGGTGCAGTTTCCACCAGTGTAAATTACACCAGTTACACCCCCTTATTTACCTTAGTTTACTTCCCTCCTTATTCCTTATACACATTTCGAGTGTAATTCACTCCTGCTAAATAGCTGGTGGAGAAAATATCCACCAGTGGACACCACATCGCCGACAGGAAGGTTTAGTGGATTTTACACCGGGCCGAACGAAAGGTTTAGTGTACGTTGGTGTAGTTCATTCCTACACCAGTGGGACGAACGAAAGAACCTAATAGGTCTTTTCCTTTGCATCGAAAGTGTAGCACTAAGCTACGTCACTTCTGAAAATATCGTTCCATCCATACAATTTGTATATATGGAACGATATTTTCAGAATTGGTGTAGCCCAGTGCTACACTTTCGATGCAAAGGAAAAGACCTTTTGATTACTATACGGTGAAAGAGAAAGGTCAGACACGCCCAACATAGCGCGGGGCCATTTTGATGCCTTTACCACAGTTTATAGCTAAAGAATCAGTTCGCTCACTCTGCGTCGGCACTTTTGATCTCAATGTTCCAGTTTATACACTGCGCAACTCGGATAATACAATATATGACAACCGCCTATATTCAAACAGCAGTCTTCTGCGGATCCTGAATTTGTATCCCTGGATTGGATGTTATTTTGGAATATTCAACTGGTCCGAGTGAGCTAACTGATTCTTTAGCAATAAACTGTGCCTCTACTACTAGGTTGGGCAACACATATATTTCCTAAATGTTAAACTGGTAGTCTATGCATCCTGATATTTAGACAATACCGCCTCGTCCTGAACTTTTAGAGTATCAGGATAACAGAAAAACGAAGAGATAATTTAAAAAAGGCGGAAATCCCATTAATTCGTCGACATTTTAGTAGTGGATTTGGTATCAGGATAACAGAAATGCAAGGAGGTATTCAAATTTTTATTTCTGCTCCGATTGTTATAAAATTAGGCACATAGTTACAGTAAGTAATTTAAAGTGTCTGACTGATGTCTGCTTTTCTCTATCTTCGATACATCTTGAGCAATGAGCCTCACCTTTTAAACTACATTCGTTAGAGGTCAACACAGTAAGTTTTTAAGATCAAGACATTACATCCTATTCGTAAGCTGATATTTTAAAATTTTTAGTTTCTCAAAAATGAGCAAAGGGTATAGACTTCAAATATTTTTGACAAAATAATTTTGCTTCTTTGATTTTGATGTAAACTTGGATCCGTATTAAAGGAAGCACTACAATTTCACTAATCTCGCAAGCGCGTCGAGGTATTCGACATTCGAGAATACTACCCCAGCTTCGGCATATAGGTAGGACATGTCCGCCCAGCCGAATGTCAGCAGCCTACTACATTGTAGCCGCGTTCATATATCAATAAATAGTTAGGCCCGTAAGGATGCCTTCCATGCCCGGGCTAGCCAAAAATGTCTGCAAAGCCAAATATGGCGGTGTCAGGCCGAGCGAATGCCGACTCTATTTGTGGTTTATTGGGCAAACTGGTGACTAGAGACTGACTAATGTCAGGTCTGATTCAATGACGAGCTGGCCTTCAAAATATGAAAGAAACTTGATCAAACGAAGAAATTGATTCAAAAATTTGTCGATTTTGCGTTATCTTGAATGACAACGGTAATTTGATTGAGAAACCTAATATTCCCGCCATTTTTGAAATACCTAGAGCCGGAAAGATATGTCGCTTGTCTCTATCTTGATCATTTTTTGCGTTGCCCCAAATGGTAATAAAAATTTGATGAAGGAACTAAATTTTCCCGCCATTTTTAAAATACCGCATCGCCCTGAACTTTTAGACTAAGATCTTTGTATCAGGATAACAGAAGAACGAGGAGATAATTTAAAAATGGCGGAAATACTATTAAATCCTCGACATTTTAGTAGTGGATTTGGTATCAGAATAACAGAAATGCAAGGAGGTATGCAAATTTTTATTTTTGCTCCGAAATTTATAAAATTAGGCACAGAGTTACAGTAAGTAATTTAAAGGGTCTGGCTGATGCCTGTTTCTCTCTATCTTCGATACATCTTGAGAAATGAGCCTCAACTTTTAAACTACAGTCGTTAGAGTGGAACAGAGTACGTTTTTAAGATCAAGACAGTGCATCCTATTTGTAAGCTGATTTTTAAAAATTTTTAATATCTCAAAAATGAGCAAAGGGTATAGACTTCAAAATTTTTTGAGAAAATAATTTTTCTGCTCTGATTTTGGTGCAAACTTGGATCCGTATTAAAGGAAGCACAACAAATTACTGGGTGGGCTCAGTTGCCATTTATCTATAAGTGTTAACTTTTTGATACGTTTTCTTCAGTTACTAATCGTCGAAATACGAGTATTCTATAAATCCACACAAACCTAGAGCAGGATATCTGGCAACCCTATATGCTAGGTGCAGTCACCACTGGTATTCAGTGGTACTGCGGTGCTAGAGTACCAATGAAATAAGAAGAAACAATAAAAAACATTTATTAACTATCATGAATTTAAAAGGAGATTTTTGATGATTTATTAATACATATATAATGGAGTATTGTATATATACAGGGTAACCATTTGAAAACAATACCGAGCCAATTTTGACAGGTATTTGACAGGCAACACAGAATACACTGATGTGTAATTTTGGTTGCCCATATTTACTAGAGACATCTATTAGGGAATAGCTAAAAGAACTTCTATTTTTCATAAATTTTTTAAATATTTTTATTTAAAAAATACGGCGACTCTCTAACGACCTGTTTTGTCGCGATAAATAAGAATAAAATTGAGTTTTTTATTCTTGCCTGACTAGGACCATATTGCAAGACAGGTAAATTACAGAATAATTTCCGAATAGTCACAGTAGTGCAGATCATAAAATAAATAGAAGAAGAATAAATATGTAATATAGGTTATGTTGTTATGTTTTTATAATTTTTTGAAAACATTTATTTTGAATTTCTATCTAGGACTTTAACGATGAACAAATTATTTACAAGGCTAATTTCTAGATCGTTAAATAGTTATTCTAAAACTGACAAACTAGCAAGCACTTACAAAGCTGCCGTACTTACAGAGATCGGCAAACCTCTAGAGATTCAAGAAAAGAAACCCACTAGTTTGAAGCCCACGCAAGTTAGAGTTAGGGTGGTGTATTGTAGTGTTAATTCTGTAGATGTACATAAATTTAAGCATGAAAGTGGAGATCTACCCTTTATACCAGGTAATTTATTGACTATAAAATAACCCTGAATTTAACAAAACTTGTATAAAATCTACATGTCATACAGAACTTACACTCTTACTTACCTTTTATCTATGGAAGACCGACCTGTGTGCGATATTTGTAGAGATGGGTAGTTCGCAAATGAACTATTAAAATGAATCGTTCTTTGTATGAACTAGGTTTGAATGTTTTAACTAAACTAGTTCACTAGTTGGACTCAAAATGTAATTTCCGTCTAGTACCTATTAACTCTGTGTATTTGATGTAACAAGTTTCTTTTAAAATAAAAAAACAAATCTTGTGGTATATTTTTCTAATTTTTGTTAGGATACGAGTTGGCAGGTGAAGTTATTGAACGAGGAAAAGATGTTAAAAATGAACAAGTTATGAATGGAGAACGTGTAGTAGGACTTAGTTTAAGCACTTTCGGAGGATTTGCAGAGCAATGTGTAGTAAGTAATAATACTTTAAATTGGTAATTACTGATACAATAATATTCTGAATTGTTTCTAGTTGGATATAAACGATATTTGGAGGATACCAGGCGATTTAGAAAGAAAAGATGCTGCCGTTATTGCATACGGTCATTCTACTGCGCTTTTTACGTTTTCTAAACTAGCCACCATTAAAGAGAAAGACAGAGTTATAATATCTGCAGGACCGGCAGGAATGGGATTGGCTGCTGTCGATATTGCTGCCAATGTATACAGAGCACAGGTGAAATTAAAATAAATTATTCAGTAGTTTAATAGTGAATATTGTCTTGTTTATTTGACGTTTTCAACAGGTAATAGGTTTGGTTGATACAGAAGAAAGAGGGGAACTTGTTAGACAAAGAGGTGCTTTTGAAACAGTGTCCTTTTCAGATAAATTAGTAAAACAATGTATGAAAATTACAGAAAATAAAGGTACTTCAATTGTATATGATGCTACTGGAGAAAAAATGATGGAGTCAATTGGATCATGGTAATTTTATTTATTTTTATACATATACAAAGTTGATTTATATTTATTTTAATTTCGATAGCGTTTCAGTTGGTGGAAAAATCTTCCACGCTGCCCCGTATTTCTACAAAACTGTTCCCACTCCGAAATGTCATTCTTTCGTCTCGGTTGTCAGCCTGAAAGAGCTGAGGCTTCAAAACAATCATTTATACAGGACTATCGTGAACGATACTCTTCAGCTAGCTAGCGACAACATTATTGGGGCTCATCTCAGTGCCAAATACAATTTGGCACAAGTAAACGATGCCATAAAGTATATAGATGAAAGGAAATGCACTGGAAAAGTTTTGATCCACATGGATTCTTAGGTATAAGTTTTAAAGTATTGTGGTTGTACTTTTTTGCAGTCACTGTATATTGGTAATGTGGTTTTTTACAAATACGCAAAGAAAATTGGCCCATTTCGATAATATTATCCTGTATAGTTATTCTGAAAAAGTACAATTTTTTATTATTTATTGGAAATAAAATAAAAGTGTTATGTTTTTCATAGTTTTTATTTTCAAATAAAAAAAAAAACAAATATCACAATGTAGTCAATAGGTAAGTAGAAACAATTTTTGAAATAATTCATTTTCAACAGAAGAAAATTTGTTCAAAAAAGAAAGAAATATTTGCATATGTTTTTTGAACTTTTTTTTTAAAAACCGATTAAAAACATTTTGTACTATCTAATTTTAAAATCTAATAAAATAAAAATTGTTAGGTTATCAATCACAACAAAATTTAAAGAGATTCAAAATCTTATGGGCTAAAAAACAAGTCTTAACAAATTATAAAACTAACATGTATTATGTCTTTTATGACACACTTTCAGTCATATGCTACTTATATACAAAGTCTTAAATTTTACAAAAAAAATGTTGCTTTTATAGGGTGGTTCAAAGGAAATTTCAGTTTCTTTGATACATTTGATCTACTATCCGAAAACGTATAGAAAGCATTTAATATTTTCAAAAAATTAGAATAGGCACATTTTGTTAAAGTGGATATAACTTGTTGAATTTTAGTAAATACACTGACTGCAAAACACTCTGAGTTTTAGATGCTCTGAAGAGAGCATTTCTTGTGTTTTTTATTTGGTCAAGTTCTCTAATGGTACAATTGAACTACTTCCACAAACTTATTAGAATAAAAATTAATATATTTTATTGATACATTTGAAATACTTCTAAAAATTGACTAAAAGGCATTTAGAAATTCCAAAGAGAATATTTTTCAAAATATTAAGTGGTAACAGTACATTTGAACTACTCCCAGAAACTTATTAGAAAGTAAATTATGCGCGCGCATTTTTTGTTAAAATTTTACTAAGGATTGATACATGTGAACTACTTCCAGAAACCTATTAGAAAGCAGTTTAAACGATTATGCGCACGCATTTTTTAATAAAATTTGATATATTTTAATTTTACAAAGGATGATACATTTGAACTACTTTTGAAAATTGACTAATAGGCATTTAGAGATTCCAATGAAAATATTAAGTGTTTTGGTTAAGTTTGTATAAGGTACATTTGAACTATTTCTAAAAACTTGTTAGAAAGCGGTTTAAAAAGATTATGCGCACGAATTTTTTGTTACAATTTGATATATTTGAATTTTACTAAGGATGATACATTTGAACTACTTCCGAAAATTGACTAATATGCATTTAGAGATTTCAAAGATAATATTTTTTGAAAATATTAAGTTTTTGGGTCAAGTTCATTAATGGTACATTTGAACTACTTCCAGAAACTTATTAGAAAATAGTTTAAAAAGATTATGCATGCGCATTTTTTTAGTAAAATTTGATATATTTTAATTTTACAAGGATACATTTGAACTACTGAAAATGTACTAATAGTCATCTAGAGATTACAAACAAAATATTTTTTGAAAATATTAAGTGTTTTGGTCAAGTTTGTTAATAGTACATTTGAACTACTTCCAGAAACGTTTTGAAAACAGTTTAAAAAGATTATACGCACGCATTTTTTGATAAATTTCGATATATTTTAATTTTACAAAGGATGATACATTTGAACTACCTCTAAAAATTGTCTAAAAAGCATTTAGAGATTCCATAGGGAATTTTTTGAAAATATTAAGTGTTTTAGTCAAGTTCATTAATGGTACATTTAAACTACCTCCAGACACTTATTAGAAAGTGGTTTAAAAATAATATGCGCACGCATTTTTTGTTACAATTTGATATATTTGAATTTTACTAAGGATGATATATTTAAACTACTTCTGAAAATTGACTAAAAGGCATTTAGAGATTCCAAAAAGAATATTTTTGAAAATATTAAGTTCATTAATGTACATTTGAACTACTTCCAGAAACTTATTAGAAAGCAGATTATGCGCGCGCACTTTTTCGTTAAAATTTGATATATTTGTTTAAATTTTACTAAGGATTGATACATTTGAACTACTTCTGAAAATTGACCTATATGCATTTAGAGATTCCAAAGAATATTTTTTGAAAATATTGTTTTTAGGTCAGGTTCATTAATGGTACATTTGAACTACTTCCAGAAACCTATTAGAAAAGTTTAAAAAGATTATGCGCACGCATTTTATTAATAAAATTTGATATAATTTAATTTTACAAAGGATGATACATTTGAACTACTTTCGAAAATGGACTAATATGCATTCAGAAATTCCAAAGATAAATTTTTTGAAAATATTAAGTTTATGGGTCAAGTTCATTAATGGTACATTTGAACTACTTTCGTACATTGACTAATATGCATTTAGAGATAGATCCCAAAGATATATTTTGAAAATATTAAGTTTTTGGGTCAAGTTCATTAATGATACATTTGAACTACTTCCAAAAACTTATTAGAAAGCAGTTTAAAAAGATTGTGGGCTCGAATTTTTTTATTAAAATGGGATATATTTGGATTTTACAAAGGATAAATTTGAACTATTTCTGAAAATTGACTAAAAGGCATTTAAAGATTCCAAAGAGAATATTTTTTTGAAAATATTAAGTATTTTGCTCTTAAAAACTTTGCACAAGGTATTTAAAAGTAACTTTTAAGCATTCATGGTTCAAAAATGGAAAACGTATAAAGCTTTTATAGAAACTGAAATTTTCTCGATTTACCTACGCAAAACTGTAATTTACCTTTAATTTTTGGAAAAAAAAAAACGTTTCCAACTATGTACAATACCAATTCTTCTATAGTACGGCAAAACGCTAAGCAATCGCTAACTTTTGTTGGAGTATCTGTCGTTCGAACAAGACTCCACAAAAATTCCTTTTCCTCTATTAGCAATGTCCGCATAATCCTTTTTTCCTTTAGAGCACAATTTGCTAGAAAATTGAGCGTCCCTTTTCCTATAAACAAAGTAAGAAAATCGTCAATGTAAGAAGAAACTATACTTTATCATAGTAAACATCATTTACACCACTACTCTATCCGTAACGGCTCCAAAGCGCCTCCCTGCGGTACTACATTTCATTTTAAACAACGTTTAACACATTTTTTTTAATGATTTGAAGTAATTTCCGAGTAAAATTTGGACGAGATGGTCTCTTAATTACGAGTTAGTTTCAAAAATAAAAAATCATTATCTGCGACCTTAGTAGTGAACCGTGTGTCATACCAAACGTTACTTACCCTCGACCTGGCATTTCCATCTCCTCTACCAACACGTTCTTCACGTACAAATGATCGTTGCACCAAAAGAGACACAATGTTCTTGGTTCCAGTACGTTCATATCGTACTCCCAACTCAGCTCGACTTTTTTGACGTTTCCTCCTAAGTCTACCGGATGAGACACGACTGTTGTATACGTCGCACCGTGTTCTAACTTCATATCGCCTGATGGAGTGAGCTCTGTGTGAATGACGCCCGATGGGCTGTAGATGGAGGCTTTTAGGTGACCTTGGACCCAGTTTTCTGCATATGGAGGGTGGGCTAGCTCTGTACTGATTCTATACATACGATCTAAAACATTAAAAATGTTAATACGTTTGAACTACAGTAGAATATAGGTTACTCTGAGGCACTTTCATTGATTTTTCCCCATATCTAGGGAAATTTGTACAAAATTAATGGTAAGTATACCCAATAATTCGACAGAAACTCGACATTAAATGGCAACACTGTTATTTTAAATAGGTTGGCAACACAGTTGACAGGTGACATCGTGACGCATGTGTGGTACAAAAAATGCCCTTAAGTGACCCGTATTCTACAAACTACTCTCTCAAAACTAACCAGAAATCATTTTTGTATATATTACGTGAAACTGATTAAATTTATAAATGCTACATTTGAGCTACTCTTAAAAATTGCAAGAAACGCTAAAATGTTTCTAAAAATATAAGGAAACAATACTTACGGCAATATGGATATTCCTTTCCCGTGGTCATGTAGTACTTGGCTCCAATAGTTTCCTGTAGCTTGGCTTGCGGTTGAATCTCGTTATTTTCCATTAAACCAGGAGTAGAGTCAGCGTGATATCCCATAATCGCACATCCCGTACCTGGTTTGCAAGTGAAACATCTCCCTTCTTTAAACTGATTATAAGTTTTACACTGATGTCCTATATATGGGCATCTTGTATTGATGCTGTCTATAAACAATTTGATAGCTCGAACGTGGTTGCAAGCTACCAGTACTCTAGAAGCCTCTTCTAGACCATCTCTGCAAATATTGAAAATATTTAATATAAAAAAATCACAGATTTCAGGATTTTAGCGATGTGGCAACGTTGCAAGTAATTTCGATCATAAATATTACCTTATTAAAGTTAGAGGTACTAATGGAGTTTGAGTTATATCACAACCTGGTTGTTCTTTACCATCATTTGGATAAAAGTCCAGGTGACCACACGGTTGGGACATTCCATAACCTATAAAAAATTGTTCACTATAAGTAATAGTACAACATTACTACCTATAATGATTTAATAATACAAACTTTAAAACCTTATTGATCGTTGATTGATTATTTTATGACTTAAACTTTAAAAATTTCTAAACAGGACTTAAAGCCATAATCACAATTTACAAATTAAGCTTGTGAAGCCATAATCACAACTTAAGCTTGAAATTTGTAAAGCCAACAAATTTGGCTTTAACTTGAAGAACTATAATAAGAGTGACAACTTAAACTTAAGCCATTATCACAATTTAAGCTTAAGAAATTATAATGATGAATTACGAGTCAAACTTAAGAAGCTATAATCACAATTTAAGCTTGAGAAACTATAGTAATGAGTGTTCAGTTAAACTTAAGAAGCTATAATCACAATTTAAGCTTGAGAAACTATAATGAGTGTCGTCTTAAACTCAAGAAGCCATAATTACAATTCAACCTCGTGAATCCTAATCACAACTTAAGCTTGAAATTTGTAGAGCCAACAAATTTGACTTAAACTTGAGAAATTATAATAAAGAATGACTAGTTAAACTTAAGAAGCTATAATCACAATTTAAGCTCAAGAAACTACAATAATGAGTGACGACTTCTTAAGAAACCATAATCACAATTTAAACTTGAGAAACTATAGTAATGAGTGACGACTTAAACTTAAGAAACCATATTTACAATGTAAGCTTGGGAAACTCTAAATGAGTGACTACTTAAACTTAAGAAGTCATAATCACAATTTAAGCTGGAGAAATTATAATAATGAGTGACGACTTGAACTTAAGCTTGAAATTTGTAAAGCAGATTTGACTTTAACTTGATAAACTATAATAAGAGTGACGACTTAAACTTGACAAGCCATATTCACAATTTAAGCTTAAGAAACTATAATAATGAGTGACGACTTAAACTTAATAAGACATAATTACAATTTAAGATTGAGAAACTATAAAAATGAGTGATTACTTAAACTTAAAAACTCATAATCACAATTTAAGCTTGAGAAGCTATAATAATGAGTGACGACTTAAACTTAAGAAGCCATAATCACAATTTAAGCTTGAAGAACTATAATGAGTGACGACTTAAACTTAAGAAGCCATAATCACAATTTAAGCTTGAAGAACTATAATGAGTGACGACTTAAACTTTAGAAGCCTGAATCACAACTTAAGCTTAAAAGAATATAATGTTAGTGGCACGATCTGAATTTCCATGGATCTGAATCTCATCTTGAATTGAGGTATAATACTATTATTATTCAAACTAACTGGATCTGACATTAAGATTTAGATATCATCACAGATTCAGTAAGATAAGTAAGAGATTAGAATTAAACATAGAAGACTATCTTCAAGCAAATATAAAGGCTGGAAGGTAAAAGCCTTTTAAGCAGATAGCAATAACAAAAAATTAAAAACGGAACAGGTTTCTAATATTTGAAAATACAAAAAAGTTTAATCAATGTGTTTTCTTACCCAAAAAGAAAATACCTTTTCCATCGGTATGTATGACATCTACCAATTCTGCATCACCCGGATCAAGCCTTACATGAGCTGGCATACCCTGTAGAATATAAAAAGTAAATAAGTATAATGCCCACTGAAGAATATTTAACTTAAAATAAAAAGTTGGCCATAGAAAATGTGCATAATTTGACATGAGGAATAAGATTGTGTATAACAAATTCTGATGCCTTGGTAGGATTCCCCACTCGATCATCCACTGTTGGGTTCTGATTAACAGTGCTGTTCCTAAAGTGGCACTGGGAAACAAAGCCTACACAGAACACGAGGCTAATAACCTTAGTAGTTAATGCCGATTACACCAAATTAAAAAAAAACAAGTTCGTGAATAATAAGTTTGTAAATAATAAGTTTGAGAATAATAAGTTTGTAAATAATAAGTTTGAGAATAATAAGTTTGAGAATAATAAGTTTGTGGTCAAAAGTGGCCATATAAAAAATAACAAACAATGTACCTGTGCCATTTTTGGTCTAATTTAATAAATCATTTATTGTGTTGCTACAATTTAATTTTTTATGGAAAATAGAAAAAAATAGTCTTTAAAAAGTCCATACCTGAAAGTAAGGTTCTGCTGGATCAAGCCCAGTTATTCTACCCAATCCAGGTACCAAAGCACCCGCATATCCTGCAGTATGGGCTCCTAATGAATGCCCTATGATGTGGATCTCCCTAGGATCAAGCTCATAATTTTTCTGAAAAAAAATATCAAGCTAAAAATCACGGAAATAAAAAAATTATTAACAAAAAAGAGTTGGACAAAACTGGGATTAAATTAACATTAATCAAAAGCATCCTGAATCATATCTTTTTGAATTAGAAGATAACAGTGATGATGATGATGATAAGATAGAAATCAAAAAGATCAACACTAGGACATAACATCGAGAATTGAAGAAAATCCATCATCAATAACAGAAGAAGAATCACAGGGAAAAGAAAAAATAGAAGATATAGAAGAAGTAGGAGTTTTACAAGCTAGAGGAGACATAACAGAAATGGATTTAGGAAACAGACAGATGCTTATATTGGAAAGTATCAAATCCATGAGAGAAGAACAAAAAGAAGAGAGTAAAAAAATGAGATAACAGAAAGGAGACAGTAATAAAATGAGAGAAGAACAAAAAGAGAGAGCAAAAAAATTAAAGAAGAAGAAAAAGAAGAAAATAGAAAGATGTTAGAGAAGATAGAAGAACAAAAACAATGTGTAATAGATGTGATGATAAAAAAATTGGAAGAACACGACAAGAAAATAGAGAATTTGAACAATAATATGAAGAAGGAGTTGAAAAAAAAGAGAATAAAGTTAATGATTTACAGAAAAACATGCAAGAAACGGTAAAAAATCACAGAAGTAAATATAAGAAGAATCGTGGAAATCATGGAAAGAAGTGAAAAAATAAATGGAGGATGTAAGGAGAAGTTTAATTAAACAAGTAAAGGATGTGAAGAAAGGCATCTACGAGGTAACAGAAAGAGAAATAAGTAAGTCAAAAAAAGAAATTGTAGAAGAAATGAAGAAACTCAAAGAACAATGGAAAATGACTGGAAGAGAAGGCAATATGGATGTAGAAAAATTGGAAGAAGTTTATAAAAGAATGGAAAAATTTAAACAAGAAATAGAAAGAATTAGAAGTTAAGAAGATGAAAATACAAGAAATAGAGCTGAAAATGCTCATCAAAATGAAATAAAAAAATTGACTCATATTTAACACGTTGACTGCCAAGGGTGTCATGGTTAAGTGATATTTGGAGCCAAAAAAATCTAACTTTATAATTTGACTTATAACTTAAAAAGCCCACACATTTAATGTTTTTAAGACTGACTTCAAAAAAGGAGGAGGTTCTCAATTCGTCGGAACATTTTTATGTATGTTCAGCGATAATTCTTTACCACGTTGTCCGATTTCTATGATTCTTTTTTTGTTAAAAATAGGGTATCTCACGGGTGGTCTCATATAAATTTGGTCAAGATTTAATGTTAGGATCTACGATAAAATCAGCAAACTCAATTTGTAATGGCATCTGCACTATTTTGAAGTCGGTTTTTTAAAATTTGTTTTATAACTTGTTTATTTATACGAGGCCTGTCTAAAAAGTATCCGACCTTTGGCCAGAAAAAATATTTCGAATACCTGACGAAGTTGCTACCCTAATCCCCTTCAAAGTAGGCCCCTTGTGCTTGCACACACTTAGCCCACCGATTGAAAGTCTACTCTCAAAACTGGATTCTTTCAGTGGCGTCTTCAATTTTGGAAACAAACAGAAGTCGCAAGCAGCCAGGTCTGGAGAGTAGGGATGTTGGCGAACGGTTGTAATTCCATGTTTGGCTAAGAAAGTGTTGATCAATTAGGATGAATGTGCAGGGGCGTTGTCATGATGCAAGTGCCAGTTGTTCGCCGTGCACATGTCTGGTCTTTTGCGCCGAATTGCGTCACGGAGTCGCCGGAGAACACCTTGATAGTACTCTTTTGTCACTGTTTGTCGTTCCGGTGCGTATTCGTGATGCACAATTCCACGGACATCAAAGAAAACAATCAGCGTCACTTTGATTTTGCTTCGCACCTAACGCGCTTTCTTCGGCCTTGGAGAATGGAGATGCTTCCATTGCGATGACTGTCTTTTTGTTTCTGGGTTGTACCCGTACGCATCCATGACTCTCCAGTTATCACGGTGTTCAGAAACCCAGGATCAGTATTGGCGGTGTCCAGAAGGTCTTGTGCAATGTCAAAATAAAGATCTTTTTGTTCCAGCGACAACAACTTGGGTACGAATTTCGCAGCCATGTTCAAATCTTCACGCAAAATTGCATGTGCAGATTCTTTACTCATTCCAACCTCTTCTGTAATCTGCCGCACTGTTAAACGAGGATCTTCCATTATCAAATTTCGCACCCTCTCAACATTAGCTACACTCCGAGCAATTTGGCGCCTGCCATAACGCTACTCACTCTCCGCTGATGTGCGGCCATCTTTGAATCGGTTGAACCATTCCTTAATTTGTGTTACACCCATCGCATCTTCAAACACCTGCTTAATCTTACGAATTGTTTGGCTTTGAGAATCACCAAGCTTTTGACAGAATTTGGTGCAGTATCTTTGCTCAATTTGTTCAATCATCTTGCGAGAAAACTAAATCAGACGAACACCAAGAACAGCACCTTACTTGGCATCCAGCAGCCAGCGACTTGCACAAGCGAACGCAGTGAAAAAATTCAAGCTTGCGCATTGAGGTTCCTCCTTCCAGCGTGCACAGTGGCGCCGCCTTAGAATCATTACTTTGCGCGGGAAAAATTAAGGTCGGATACTTTTTAGACAGGCCTCGTATATGCATTCTTTCTATATTTCTACGCCTATGTACAATTTATTAATACAATAAACTTTTCAACGATCTATACAGTAGGTAAACAAATTATTTGATCGGTCTATATTTCCCCATATAAAATATTAAAATACCTAGTCAAAATGTTGCATAATAATTCTAAAAATATACAAAATTAGATTGCTCAGCGTTCCATGAATTTGCCTAAAGAAAAAGGTATTAATGTAAACAAAACTTTAAAAAATCATCCGGAGAAATGGGGGTCAAATTCGAATATAATTATTCTCTTGATGAATGCACCGACCCACTTTCTTGGATTCTTGCGTATATTATATAATAATCCACCGCATCGTATATTTGGTAATTTTGTTCCACTTTAATAATAAATCGTAAAAAAAATGATTTATGGTGTTTTTAAACTGTAATAAACTTTATAAAACACACATAAAGACCAAAATAATGAATATGTTGTTAAAAAAATGTAGTATTGTTTGTTGAATCTTTCTTAGTTTGGCCCACAAATGAACCAATGGAGAAACCACCCTTGTTTAAAACATACCCAAAATTCCTATTAATAAAATGTACTCACCACTAAGTAATTTATTAAATATGCTATCTCCAATCCTACAAGCCTAGTATTAGCAGTGGCTTGCGTGTAAAGGGGCAAACTACCCCCAGCCCAATCTACGACTATGATATTGACGTCTTGCGTTTTGAGAAGTTCGTCTCTCATGTCTTTCACCTAAAAATAAATAGGTAAGGCGATGTTTAATAATAATAATAATATAAAAAAACTTACCCAATTTGATAATGGCGTGTCTATAAATCCATGAATGATAAATTTGATTTTTTTCTTAATATCTAAATTTGATCTTTCTATTGACTGATTTTGGGCTCTAATCAGCTGTCCCTGGAATGATAAATATTTTTTATAAACTAAAATATAATTTTTTTAAACTGTAGATATTTTTTTACTTACATCAGAAGGATTTAATCGTGTATATAATATAAACCTAGTATTTATCACAGATCTTGGCAATGGAAATACGTTGAAAGGTCTATGGATCAAGTGGTACCAATTCCGGGTGATATTGAGGCATCCCAGTTCGTCGTAACACCTAGTTTCATTTTCAACTAAAAAAATATATACAGGGTGTTTATTAATTGAGTTCCGATACTTAAGGGTGTGAATCCTTGGGTGATTTTAAGAAGAAAAGTTAATATCAACATATGTCATAAATCTCTTAATTTTTGAGCTACAGGGTGTTACAGTTTTAAGAAAAAAATATATTTTTTTTTTTCATAATTTTCTTATCACTGCAGATATTTCTATGAAATTTTGTAAATACCTTTTATTCATTAAGGAGCATTTTTTGACGTATAAGATTTTTTTAAATTTTTACCAGTGACTTCCGTACGGGGTTTGAACTGAATATTTTTAAAGAAAAAAATGGTACGCCACTGCTTTTTATAAAATTCAAAATTATTTTTGAAATATTGATTTATTTTTGATCAAATTTGACCTATAGACTTGCTTTCGTACGATGCACTGTGTTAGCGTAAAAAAATAAAAATCTAAATTTTTTTTTTCTTAAGCTGCTTTTGATTTTTTGTTGAAATTTGGTAGGCACCCACCATGCGTGAAAACACTTATTTTGGGGCAAAAATTAATTTTCTACTTCCACCAGTGACGGCCACGTAGGCATCATATTGAATTGATTTTTTTAAATTCTCTGTATTTTAAAAATCGGGATTTATTTATAGTAAAATGAAAATTCAAAATCTTGAATCTTAAACGAAATTACAAGAGAATACAAACAAAATAAAGAACCCAAATTATTTACAGTAATTGTTGGAAGTGTCCTCCACCCACACGTATGCAAGCATCTACTCTTCTTTACATAGACTGACGCACATTTTCAAAGATTTCTGGGATGTTTCTTATGGTTTGGCAGCAGACTGTTTTACGATTTCGTAACTCTTCTTCGGTTTGAATCGGCACTGCGTACACTAAGCTTTTCAGATGCCCCCAGAAAAAGAAGTCTAAACTATTAAGGTCGGGAGATCTAGGCGGCCATGACTGCATTCCTCCGCGACCTATCCACCGATTACGCACTATCGTGCATTAGCCACATCTGGTTTCTTAATAAAAGAGGAAGGTCTTCAAGCATTGGCGGCAGATCATCTTCAAGGAAGTGTAAATATGATTGTCCATCAAGTCTTCTTTTGGGAGAAAAAATGGGCCTATCAAATAATCATCAATAATGCCAGCCCAAACATTTAATGAGAACTGTTCTTGATGATTTGACTCAACAATTGCATAAGGGTTTTCATCCGCCCATAAATGGTTATTATGGAAATTTATTATTGAGTTTCGAGAAAAATTAGCTTCATCGGTAAAAAGAATGTGCCTGTCAAATAATGGATTTTCCAGCAGGTTTTGAAGAAACCACTCACAGAAATTAATGCGCAACGGAAAATCTCTAAGGAGTAATGCCTGGACTCTTTGAATGTGATATGGGTATAACAAATTTTCGATGAGAATTTTCCAAACAAGTACATGTGAAACATTAATTGTTGACGCGATTCTCCTCGTGCTAGTTTCGGGGTTCTCCTCAATTTCATGTAAAATTCCTTCTTCAAGTTCCGGTGTTTGATGGACTCCTTTAGCCCTGTGGTCTACTTTTAAAGTTCCGGTCTCGTGAAGACGTTTATGAATCCTAGAAAATATTCTCGGATCGGGTAGTACGCGATTTGGATACCGCTCTTGGTATATCCGTCTGGCTTCGTATGCATTTCCGTCTGCAAGCCCATAACTAAAATGCATGTCAGCTAATTCACTGTTCGTAAAATTTACCATTTTTTTTTTTCAGATTTTAACTCTTACTCTAATAATAATTATTTAATAATGTAAAATCAATGTCAACTTTATTGTCTTTATGAAAAGGAACGTAAAAAATGATGACGCTTTACCCAGCCTACTATTGTTTATTTCATTTGCTTTAAGAGGGCAATAATGCGCTTACCATTTTTTTCTATTCAAAAGGTAGAAAATTAATTTTTGTACCAAAAAAATGTTTCCACGCATGGTGGGTGCCTACCAGATTTCAACAAAATATCAAAAGCAGTAGGTATCAATGAATATAAGGAAAAAATTTGACCAACCACTACAATGGTTTTTATTTTTTTACGCGAAAACGGTGCATCGTACGAAAGTAAGTCTATGAACCAAGTTTGCTCCAAAATAAATGATGATTTCAAAAATAATTTTGGTTTTCAGAAAAAGCAGTGGCGTACCATTTTTTTCTTCAAAAATATTCAGTTCAAACCCCGTACGGACGTCACTGGTAAAAATTTAAAAAATCTTATACGTCAAAAAATGCTCCTTAATTATTAAAACGTGTGTACAAAATTTCATAAAAATAAATGGAGTGATAAAAAAATTATGATAAAAAAGTAATTTTTTTCTTAAAACTGTAACACCCTGTAGCTCAAAAATTAAGTGAGTTACGACATATGTTGATATTAACTTTTCTTCTTAAAATCACCTAAGGATTCACACCCTTAAGTATCGGCACTCAATTAATAAACACCCTGTATATAATTAATTTTAATGTGATATTAATTAAATATCGAGCACCCTGTAGCTATTTACTTACATGGCAACCACGGCAAATTGACTTCTATTCTATCGGATCTCGCCCAGTTGAAATTATCCAAAATTCCTGCTCTAGCAAATCCCGAAAAAAACAAAATTGTTATCAAACCCAGTCTAAATTCTAACATCATCCTTTTTCCAGGATATCGTTTTTGGAAATCTTCATACGCATAGAAAGGGTATAGTTTAGTTCAAACTTCCACTGTCGGTTCTGCAACAATTAAAGTATTGCAATTTAAAGATTACCGATGTAATTTAACGATAGAGGGTACTAAAATTAAAAGTATCACAATAAACAGTCATATTTCTGACTTCCCCATAAAATTACCTTTTTAATGATGTGCCGTACATGGTATATACATTATTTAAAATTAAGGGGTTAGAGAAGTGGAAGGGAGGGGGTTGACACAAGACAGATGTCTGCATTGTAAAAATGTGTCTAATTTGGGATAAAAATAGACCTGTTTTAGTATTTTCTTGGCCATTTTGTGAGAGGATTACTCTGAAATTGAGGAACTATTCTGACTTGTGGCGTTCGGACGGGTTTGCTCGAGCGCCAGATTATTTTAATGTGGTTTACTCCACTATCTTTTGAAGTTTTAGTATAAGTGTAAATATATACATATATAAGGTAGATGAAAAGGTGAAGTTCAGCTTGTGCTGATTTACAACTTAACCTGTAAATAACATTGAAATATAATAATATAATATAATAGAGAAAAAAAAGTATAAAAAAATAAACAGATTTTCAAAACCAAATTCGTTGCATTATATAATATATTTTTTTATGACCATTGCTTATTAAACAAAGATTATTTTAGGCGTTTCTTGAAATTAAGCAAGTTATATGATTTAAATTCGTTTGTAAGTTTATTGTACTCTTTACATTCAACATACGAAAAACATCTTTTAAATAGAGCCGTGTTATGATTCGGTACCACCAAGGTCATTCGATTCCGCGTATGAAATTCATTAATATTGGAAATTGTCTTTAATTTGTTAACTAAATAATCAGGTTTCTGTATGAGTAAAACTTTGTGAACTTGGGTTAATAAATGCAAAAGGCGATAGTTATTGAAAGTCAACCAACCTGATTCTTTCATTTTATTCGAGATATGATCAAATTTTCGAATTCCATAGGCGAAACGTAGACAGCTATTCTGAATTTTTTGTAAACGAGCGGAATCGGATTGGAGTAGGGCTGGACCGTAGATGGAATCACAATAACTGAGTTTGGAAAAAATGAGAGATTCACAAAGTTTAAGTTTGAGTTGTGTGGAAAGCAGGTCTCGGTTAGGGTACAACTGTCTCAAGACGTTGAACGAACTTTGAGATATGGTGGAAGTATGTTTACTAAAACGAAGATCAGAATCTAACCAGAGACCTAAGTTTTTTCCTTCATTCGTGAATTGAAGAAGAGCATCGCCTAATTTAATTTGTAATGCGTTTATTGTTAATTGTCTTAATTTTTTGGGGCCAAATAACATGATGGATGATTTTTTAGAATTTATTTTGAGGTTGTGAGCTGTAGAAATATCAAGTAATGCATTTAAATCGTCGTTAATAAGATTTTGGGCAGTAAGTAAGCACTTATTATTAAACGAGTGATATAACTGGGTATCATCTGCATAATGATGGATCACACACTTTTTAATAAAACTATGAAAATCTGCTATATATAGTGAAAACAGCAATGGTCCCAGAATGGATCCCTGCGGAACACCTTGACTAACGGGTAGACTGCTGGATACATCAGCTTCCAAAATAACTTTATGAGTACGATTGCTAAGAAAATTTGATATTAGACGAACGGATTTATGAGAAAAACCGAAAAATTTTAGTTTTTTGCAAAGTGTTGGATGATCTAAAGAATCAAATGCTTTGCTATAATCAAGAAGAACCAAACATGTGACTTTTCCCAGGTCTGTCGCTTTAAAAAGGTCATCCGTGATAGATAAGAGGGCAGTGGTCGTATTATGGTCCATTCTAAAGCCAGATTGAGCTGGAGTTATTATATTTTGGTCATATACATATTTGCTAATTTGATCTTTAAGTATAAATTCAAACGATTTAGAAAGGGTTGGTAGAATACTAATAGGACGCAAGTCAGATAAGCTAGTAGGTTGATTACATTTAGCAAGCGGAATAATAAAAGCCCGTTTCCACGAAAGTGGATAATGAGACGAAGAAATTATTTTATTAAAAATAAATGTTAAATGATTGATTAAATAATTTTCTACTAACTGTATCATGCGCAGTGATATGTTATCTAAACCAACGGCATGACTTTTTATACGATTTAGAGATTTTCGAACTGTATCAGAAGAGACAGATTTAAATTCGAATTTATTTTCATATATATTTTCATAGTACCGATCAAGTAAGGCTAATTGGTCATGTGACTTCAGAGTAGTAGGAGATGAATTAAAATGTTTGTTAATTTCAGTAACACTACTTAAGTTAGGTGGTATAATAGGACTGGCTTTTTTTCTAAGAATTTCTAAGGATCTAAGAGTGTTCCAGGTGGTCTTGGAATTCTTTTCTCTAAGAATAAAGTTTAAATAAGCCTTTTTTTCTCGTCGAATTGCTCCAGTAGTAAAATTCCTTAGGTCGGTATAGCTAGTCCAATTTACTGCAGTCTTATTTTTTTTATATTTTTTTAAAGCTTTGTCTCTTAACGAAATCATTACTTTTATATTATAAGTAATCCAAGGGGTATGCGGTTTCGTAACTTTTTTTCTTACTAAAGGAGCATATACAGAGAAAAGCTGGATTAAGGAATTATTCAGATGGGAAATCATATGTTCAACGTAATTTAATTCGTAAATTATGTCCCAATTTACGGAACCTAATTCAGCATTAAAAAGATTAATATCAAATCGTGAAAAGTCACGATAGGTTATATACTTAGCTTTCTTTTCTAAAGTGATTGACTCTATGTTGCAAAGAACAGCTTGATGATATGACAAGCCACGGCCTCTGACATCTAATACCTCAACACATGTTGTTTGATGGACATCTGACACAAATATAATGTCGATGAGAGTTTTGCTGTGCGGGGTTATATGAGTTGGTTCATTAACAATTTGTGTTAGTCCATAGGAATTTAAAAAATTTATACATAGATCACAACCTCTACTAGGCGTCATAAAATCTATATTAATATCTCCTGAGACAATGAAAAAGTCACAAGATGGTAACAAGTTGGCGACGCTATCCTCCAATTCATCAAGGCAGTTGATAACAGAAGAATTAGGGGGGCGATATATAACTCCAAAAATATATGTTTTTCCGCGAAACTTGGTAGAAATCCAAAGTTGCTCAAGGTTAGGAGTAATTCGCGAAAAAATTAAATTATATTTGATACTTGAATTAATATAGAAAGCAATACCTCCGCCTCTCCCATCCCTATCAGCTCTAACAACTTGGTAAGAATCAATAAAAATAATAGTAGAATCAATTTGAGGGTTTAGCCAAGTCTCACTAACGCCAAATATGTCTATGTTTTTGTTCAATAAGTAGTCAGTAACTTGATCAAATACAGAGAAAATAGATCCTACGTTGAGGTGTGAAAATCTGATATTACGTTTCATATCATTAATTTATTATGAGTAAAAAATATACTAAAAATATAACTTGAAATATAAACTACAATGAGAAAACCTATAGATATATACAAATATGAAAGACAGAATAAATTAAAATAGAGAAGATTAAATTTGTAATTAAATAAAATTGTACATCTACTTTTGCGAATTGATTCTGGATCTCTGACCCTGGTTTCTGGTTTGTGGTTTGTTAACATGAATTCCACTTCCAATTTTGTTAATGGTAGGTGTACTGGGTGGATTTTTGACAATAATCGCAATGTTTGGATCTTGAGAAGTACTAGAAGAGGCGTTTCTATTTTCGGGAAGTGTTGGATCCACAGCAGTTGGAGTCGATGGAGCACTGTTCGGTTTTTTGTTTAGGTTGTTCGCTAGTTCTTCTACGCCTAACAAGTTTTCAACAGAATAAATATTTTCATTTACATATAACTTATTTCGTTTAATATAACAGTTGTTTTGTTTATCTTGTTTTGCCAAATTTAAATGCTTTCTAAGAATACTGGACTCATATCTTTGTTTGGGGGTTTGTTCATGTACAATGCTTATATTTTTTCCCTTAAGTTTGTTACAATTTTTTAAAATTTCAGTTTTCCTCCACGAACAGACAAAATTTACTTTCAAAGGGCTATTTGTTTCTTTTCCCAGGGTATAAAATTCATTAATTTCAGATGGTTTTATATCTATATCCAACAGCGATTTAATATGTGAGCAAATATATTGTATGTTTAGGTTAACTTGAATGTTTTGAAGCCCATAAATTACAATGCTATTTTTCTTATTTTGTTGCTTAAGAATTTCAATTTCTTCCTTCAGTAACTGGTTTTCTTTCTGTAATTCAGTGACTTTACTTTGTACCGATTCCACCTTCAATAATAGTCTAGCCTCAGAAGCATCTATTGCATTTTTTAGTTCTTTTTTGCTATTGATAATCTCATTTAAAATATCCTTTAACGTTGTGTTATTATCTATTTCACTCATTGTATGTAATATTTAAATATTTAAAATTTTATCGTGTTTTGCGTGTGTGGTCCGCTTTAACAAAGGTGATACTATCGAATCAAGCACGACGATTAGTAGATAAGATATCAATGTGATTATGGTTAAACTGGTTTTTAAAAAGGAAAATGCAATTAAATATCTAAAATTTGCAATTATTTCTTTAAGTTTCTAAGTGTTTACTTTGTAGAATTTAGTATGTTATGTTAGATTACTCACTGTAACCAATTCCAGGATTTTACCAGGTTGATTTCACATCGAATTAACTGAACTTTTATCGGAGCAGTTTTAATGCACGTTCACACACACACACACACACACACACACACACACACACACACACACACACACACACACAAGTCGTATCAAAAGAATACTCAGGTAGCTACAGTGAAGAAATAAAATTTCCAGGGGGCAACGTTATAATAGCCAGGTAACGTAAGTGTAAGCAACGGGCTTTAATCGTTACTTATACGATGTTCACTAGTCTAGGTTCTGAAAGGTATATAAAGAAATAGGTAGGTAGGAAGCCTGTAACCCTTGACAGGTGTAATATTACTAGTATTAATAATAATAAGCCAGAGGAACATTTAATACATGTATTTTCTTACTAAAACTAAACAATATTGATTAAAATATTTGTAAGTCCCACTCGGTATTAACGAATCCCTGAACAAAATAATACTACAAGAAACGGTTGAAGTTGGAACTCTCAATCAGACGGTTAAGGATAATTTAAGACGTTAAAGTCGTCGGTGATACGACAATGTTTGAAAATATTAAATTATAAGAGCCCAAGGTGAAATAATAACCTACGTCACGGGAAACACGGGATACGTCCAAAAATTACTTGGCTTGTAATAAGAAGGAACATTTACTAATCGAATATTAATTAGATACGGTCGGGGAATATCAGAAAATTTATAAAGAGGGAAAGATGGCCCTAAACAATTAACAGACTTAACCAGTATTTAGCCAGGAGCGATGCCGGGCCGGCTAAATGTCTAGTTCTTTGAGCTGAAATCTTGAACTGATGCCAAAACGTCTTCGTGAACTTCAAGGGTTCCAGTCGAATCGACATACAATTCAGATAATAGCCAAAATAATGGCCAAATCTTCGTGGATGGGTGACCACCGGGAGGTTCCACCATGGGCCGTGTCACTATGGGACTCATCCGACTAGTGGTTAACCACCGACGACGTGAAATGAATGACGATAAATCAGGGAGTAAATTGTTGAATGAGAAAGTAGTAGGACCTTCAAATGGTGGTACAATAAGCCGCAGGCTGCCGTGCCGCCAATCTATAGACGGATTAGGGTGTAGCACGGGAGATCCGAAGGGTGTAAAAAACTAAACTAAACTAGTATTTTCTTAAAATCCAATGATTAATGCCGAAAAATAGGATGAAACTGTTTTAAGTGACCCACTCATAGAAATAATATAGAAGACCAATATAAACAACATTTAAGCAGAAATTGAAACCTACTGTGCATAAAAACGCGTCTCTGCGCCTGACATCGCAAAATAGTGTGTCTAGAAGCTTGCGCAATAAGCATGACTTGTCCCTGTAGTGTTGCCAAATATATTAAACATACCTAACAGAAAATAATTTTAAATTATATGATTTAAACAGTTTATATCTACGAAATATCGCCACAAAATAACTTATAAACATTTAAATAATCAACTAATAATATTTATGTGTAATTACATTCCCAAAAATATATACAAATACCGTATTAATGTCATTAATACCGTATTTTTAATGTTCAATAAGCGATTCACCCACAAATTCAATATTGACCTGGCAATAGCACTAAAATCCGGTGTTTCAAGGCTATATGACGCTGCCCTTACAGGACCGTTTGTAGTTTATTATTTATGCCGCGTTTGAGAATCCACATCGGATGCATCTGAGATGTAGTAAGTAGTAAATCTTTGATCACGTGATTCAGTATACGTAAATGTAATGGGACAGATGTGTCCGATGTGGATAAAAAACGCTCGAGATGTAAAAATTGCATCCGATGTGGATTCTCAAACGCGGCATTAATTACACGATGAAAGTGGCATTTTAGTTTTGTGTAGTGTTTAGTCAAATCCTAGGTACAATAAAAGACATTTTTACATTGGCTAATGAAAATGTAATCAATGTATTAGGCAGCTGTTATATTTATTACAAGATTTATGTCTGCAAATCTAAACCTACCTAAGAATTATAATTATGTAAATAGAGATCTGTATATTTATATACAGGCTGCCCAGCGACGGGGAGACTCTTCTGTCACTCGATATTTTAATCGGTACTTCCTCTTCGTTTTTTGGCTGGCACAACAATTATTTACATTTCTTCATTCCTTACGGCGTTCGAACCAGTAAGGTTTAAAGAAATTTAAAAAAAAACCTACTTTAAAAATAAAGATGTTAATGATTTTCTTATGGATCCCATCTTCAGATCTTGACTTAATGTATATAAAACTGTTTCCTTTTCTAACAAAAAGAATCCTAGAAATCGGGCAACGTGGTAAAGAATTATCGCTCAACATACATAAAAAAATATTTCAACGAATTGAGAATATCCTACCATTTTGAAGTATGTTAAAAAAAAATTATTAATAAAGTGAAAAGTAGGGCATGAACATATATTATAAAGTATATAAAATGATAGATAAATCCAGTTTAGAAGGTATTATAAATAAACTGTGGAAATATCGAGAATCTCGATTTTGAATCGGAAAAATATTCTACGCAATTTAGTATGAAAGCTGATCAAAATGAAACACATGAACGACAAACTGTTATTGACAACTTTCTTCAAACGTTTTCTATTTTTCCGAAAACTAACTAGATAGTTCGAAAATCATTTCCTTTGTTAAAACGCCTCTTGTTCCGAAAAAGGTACACGCCTGTCAACATTCATCGTTCATTAAAAAAGTGGTAGATACAAAACGCTTCGTATTGTAAGGCCAAAATATATTTAGAAATCGAAATATTCATATAAACAAAAAAATCATGAGTGAGATAACTACCAAATTAATGATTTACAAGTTTATTCCTATTATTTATAAAATAGGTTTGCAATGTGCTGGTGTGGAATGTTATCATCGACTAAAAACTTTAAATCTTTGTATTAAATTGATCGAAAACAAACTATAAATTGGTTTAGGCTATATAGAATGTTTCTAGTAAGCAGCAACTAATTTTTATTATGGAACCGAAATACCCTTTTAAAAGGGTTCAAAATTAAAATAAAATATGTACCAAGTAAATGTAGTAGTATTTTTTAATTTTTTAATTTATATTGAAAATGGTAACATGAAAGGTTTTCTGTCTAACGACTCATAGTCTCGGCTGACAAAATGTAAAAAAATATCGAACATAATATTCCTGGGCCCTATTTTGCACTCCCCAGATTAAATTTAGTTGTAGCAAATGATATTATCAAATAAGATGTCAAATCACAAGCAAAATCTCGTGACTACAGTACTAATGATTGCCTGTTTGGAAAAGTATCTTTGTTTGTAAATGTTTATATGCATAGTTATATTTAAATGCGCGAGTGTAATGTTAAGTATAAACAAAATCCGCCCATTATGTATATACGTTTAGTTACCGACCCTAGTAGATAGGCAATTTGTTATTGTTTTAAGTTTTACCGTAGGGAGAGAGAAAATCAATATTAGGATAAATGGTCCAGCTCCTTTCTGGTTACGTAGGTACCTAAAAAGTATTTTAGTTTTTGGTTAAGTAATTAATTATTGTAACAGTGATTTTCTTGTGATAGTACCTAATTTAGATTGTGGATTAAAGTTTTTGTATATAATTTCGCTGTTTAATAATAAACGTAGTCAAAACCGGAGCACGTGGTTTTTCTGGAAAGTATTTTTAAAATCACAAGCAAAATCTCATGACTACTGTACTAATGATTGCCGAAAATTAACTAATTCATATTTTATGCCATATCTTTCTTAATAAGGACTGTCAGAACCATATTTACCTTAACTTGAAATTTTTTTAATCGTTTTTTGTATAGAATCATCTCTAAAAATGTATGATTGAAATATCGTGCGAACTATTTGTTCGATCAATAAAAAACTTGCACCGGTCCTGTTCGCGCCAGCACCGTTATACGCATGAGCTCCGACACACTATTTTCTCCTTATGGTTTCATTTTTGATATATGGAATCGGCTTTCTATACTATTTCTATGGACCCACTCTGTATATCAAAAATGACTAGATTTATCGAATTAGTTTATAGAACAAAATCTGTTTAAAATTTAATTTTTTATAAGATGCGCTATATAAGAAAGATCCTCCCATCAAAAAAAAATATTAAGCGCAGCGCCATCTACATATTGACCTATTTAAAATTAATTTAAATCTAAAAGTGAAGTTCTCTTAGCGATCTATAAACTGGTTTTTACAGAATTAAAATATCTCTATTACTTACCAAAATATCCGGCTTGGGAGTTTTTATTGCTACACCCTGTATTATATAGTTGAATTAAATAAAATGTCTGCAATATTCTATATTGAAATACCTTCTGTTTTTGTATATAATTTATAGTTCAAACGGTACTAATGGTCAAAGAGGCACTACCAAATTTCCTATCTGATCATGTGCCTGACACATGGCCTCTATTAATATGGTAAAAGGCCATTAATTTCCCGTTAACTTCCCATCAATAGGCCATTAATTGCCAATATATTTATTTCCAGACATTAAAGGGGAAATGAAGGCCCATTAATTGGTTATGATGGCAAAGTGACTTCGGCCCGACTGTCGGCCGTAGTGACCTATATATGCCGGCCTTTTAATTAAAAAAGTTAAATGGCCATCAATGTAATTAGAATTTCATTTGTTTCATTGTTTATTCATCGGTTGTACCTATTATTGATTTAGTTTTTAGTAATATTGTTTTATATTCAGTTAATATGGGTCTTATGGCTCCTACTCTTATCAAATTATAATAATAATTGGAGGGTGACAGTTATTGGGCCTTTAATCCCCCTACTCAAAATGTTTGTTGGGAAGCGATTTAATTTAAAGACTAACAATGTAATTTAAAGACTAGTCATGTAATTTAAAAAGTAGTAATGCAATTTTAAAACTAAGATGAAATTTAAAAACTAGCGATGTATATGGGAGGTGACGATGTAAATTAAAGATTATAACAATAGTGTGACAAAAATCAGTGACAAATTTCAGACATTTTAAATAAAAGTATCATCCAGTTGCAATTGAAAACAATCCAAAAACACAAGAATTACCAAATGTTTCCTATTCAAGACAAGAAAAAATTAATGAAGAAATTTAACAGAATATTTTCATTGGAATTACCTTATCAACGATTTAAACATAAAAACTTAAACTAATTCTTACCCGATTTCTGTATTAAATTAAATAGCACCCGTTTGCTGTCTTGATACTGGTAACTACTATTTCACTTGCAAGTTGCTAGTAAAAAAAATGTGACTATCTATGTTGCGTAATGGTGATCTGAAAAAGGAAAGAAAATGTAGTTAGACATTTTTGGGCATCGAGGATAAACAGAGGCGTGTTAAATAGGTACATAGACGGGTGGTAGGTACTAATAAAAATGTATTTATTCATAATTTTATCGATAACATTTATTTTGTTGACAAAATTTTGAAAATTGTGATTTTCCATTCATTTAAAAAAAATAGCTGCCATAAACGTAGACAGAATTTGACAAATTACTATGGAACTCTAAAGAATAAAAACTAAAATTATTTTTAGTATAGGTAGTTTGTGGAAATTAAAGTTTAATTTGCTTCCTTATACAGGGTAGACCGAATTTAATTTACGTATACAGAGATCTCGTAAACCGTAAGATATACATTGTCGGTTAAATGGGGAAAAAGTTTCGTATTTTGACGGATAATACAATGGTCTATAGAAGTTCCAGATTGTCTGACTGGTTCCGGAGATACTCGATAAAATCCGAAAAACCTCATTTTCGTTTTTTAAGTCGTGCGTTGTTATTGTAAAAGATACAAAAAAAAATATACGAAGTTTTTGTTATAAATCAAGTTCCCTATAATCTGCCATGTCAACATGTTTATTACGACGTTTCGTATTTCCAGGGCCACCTTCAACTTATTTTTTTAAATACGGACCTGGATTTTTAACTGTAATTTTTTATAGCTTTTGTATAGCTAAATACAATGTTATACTTTACCATTTTACTACGTTTCGTCTATGAAAATATCATCAGCTATGTAGCTTCGGATGATACCGTTTCTTACTTGATTAAAACAAGAAAATAATAATTAAAAAAAAAATGCTTAAAATGTGAAATTTTAAATATTATTTGAAACATAATACAAGAATTATTTAATTACAAAATTACAATAATCTGATTATTGATTAATCCACACCACACATTTTGGGTAAAACGGAACTGTGGTCTAACTTCTCTGATTAAATGGGGATTAGAAGTAAAATACAAATGCTTGTTCCTGGGATTAAATATTCCACTAACAGTAAAGGAGCATTCATCCGTCCATAATATCTTTTTGTTGAAAGAACGATCATTGCGCATTTTCTACTATACCAACGACAAAACATCAGTATTCTATCAGAGTCTCCAGCGTGTAATTTTTGATAGTAGTTTTGTTAAAAAATTTAAATTTTGACAATATAAATAACGTATTAGAATTTAAAGCCCTTTGATTTCTTTTCTTGGAAACGAAGGAATTAAAACTTTAAAATATATGCATGTTGTAGATATTATTGACTAATTTATTTTGCCAAAATTTTTAATTTTTTAAAAAAATAACTTTGAGATATCCTTATCCGAAAATTATAATGACAACAGCATTTGTGTACGCCTATGTGAACATGCATTTACAGGATTGGTTTAGATAATTATTCAACAACAAGCTAACGAGTGTATATGTATATAAACGTACGATTTTTAAGAATATTAGTAGCAGGTACGTGATAAATATTAGATAATACCTTTTGGTAAGTGTAAAAATATATTTTTAAGGTAAAATTATTCATCACGACAAGCCTCGTTATAATTCTTTAACACTTTAACTGCGTATACTGATAATTTACTAGAAGTTGTGACGAACTAAAATGTAGATTATCAAAACAATAAGAACTAAAGACTTTTTTTGTTAATTTTAATTGCTCTGTAATTAATTAATTATGTATAAATTATTGTCCATAAAAAGCAAAAAGTGAAAATAGCAAAAACAACTATTAAATCAACTTTTTTTTTTTAATAAACAAATGCAAATCTTTTAATATATTCATTGATGGTAATTAAAAATTACTTCCTAATTATTATAATCATTAAATAATAAAAAAATAACAATTGTTTTTTAATGTACCTATTTGTAATCATCAAATGTAAACATCTGAGTACCTAAGTATGTCACTATTAATCGCGGTGGATATACCTTGTTGTAATTAATTGCACGACTATAGTATTAACACTTTTTTTGCACAATGTCCCATAAAAAAATGTATTGACGCATTATTAAGAAGTACGAGCTCTTTTAGAACAACCTTAGCACAGTTTTTGTCCAATTTGTTTCTTTAACTTCATTTTAACCTTCATAGGACTGATCGGAGTCCGTTTGTACCCATTTATACAGAGTGATTCATAACCATTGGGACATAAGCTAAGAGCAGGTTATTTGGACCAAAATATGGCGATAGGGCCAAATATACGTCAATAAAATATTACTGTGGAATAAGATACAGGGCGTTAAAAATGATTTTTCCCTTTAAGACTGATATGCCTATGGTTGTTTTTAATGTATCCAGCAGATGATGACGAGCTCGTCGCCATGTTACGCCAACATAATCGGTTCTGTCACTCCTATTTAGAGATGGCAAAACTTATTTTGCAAAGTACGTCTATGAAATGTGACGTTATATACCCACTTTTACTGCACTCCTCTTTTATTCAGAGTATAGTTGGGGATGTAGTTCTGCAGCACTATATTAGTTTTTAGGAAAAGGTCATTTCTGAAGCAACTCTCACTACTTTTGCAGTAAAAATAATGTTTTTTGTTTCATGATAGTTTCTTAGTTTTTCTTACTGTACTTTAAATTTTTCACTTTATACAGGGTCGAAATTTGACCTGCACCCGGGTTTTGGACGGCGAGATTTTTATGGTAGGAGTCGCTACAGGAATAGCATCAAAATTCTTGCTGTTAAATACAAAATATATCTGCCTATACTAAAAAAGTTTGAAGAAAATTGTCAAAAGTGCTTTGTTGGCGATTATTAAGGCAGTCTGGAAGGGGGATGCTTTGGTGTCATTAAAGTTGCACCACTATCGTCATATTGATCCTACACTTATGTCGGTTGTCAGAGGCATCAAATATTGTTAATTTTTTTCATATTGTGTTATAATTTGGTGTTTTTCTGTGATCATATTAAAAAAGAGATTAATTTTTTACAAGTAAGCATGAAAATGGGCATGCCCCGTCACAGTTTTATAAAAAATTTATTAGCATACTTTGTTGAGCAACAAATAATTAAGTACCTCATTTATTTTATAGACATATTGTTACTAGATTGAAACAGAAATAAATTTCATAACTAGCAATCAATGCAAATCATTTTATATATTCATTATTGTTACAAGCCAGTATAATAATAAATATGTTTTTTATTATTTCCAAAAAATAATTGCAGTAATTATTTATATAATATTCAATATGCACAACCTGATTATAAACATGCGAAAAGATAATTAAGAAAAGATGAAATTAGTGATTTAAAAATGGGAGCTTATTTAGAAATATCCCAGGCAGCACATTATTATAACAAACAGGCCTGACTAGAGGGGGGGGGTAGCCGGGACTAATTCCGGGCTTAAATGGGGGCCCGGCAGCGCTATAAGAGGGGCCCGACAATAGGGTTTTCTGTTTCCGCATGAGAAATTCGATTTTTTTTTTTTTATTTACAAAACGAAAAGTTTTTGGTTAATATTTTTTGTCATAGAGCCCGATGTAGAGAATTGTCCCGGGGCCCGACCTGGCTCTCGGCGGCCCTTAACGTATTTCATACGTAATACTCGTTTAATTTTGGTATTGGTTGATTCCGTATACGTTTACAGTTTACGATTATTACACATACCGTGATTTAAACGATATATTATACGTTTTTTATATACATCCTATGGTATATAATTGTAAATTTTTCTACGTTTAAATATAGTTAACAATATACGACTATTTTTAGTTTGCGATGAACTATTTATATACAGTGGGCCTAAATATACGTTTAGATTTATTTAAATTAAATTCGTATAAATTTACATAATATTACAATATGTTTCGTCTTGGTTGATTTTTTAAACGTTTACCATCTTCCATTTTTATACTTAACGTTTTTTAACAGATAAATTAAACGCTTTTGTTTGTCGATACTAGTTAATATCCCTTTATTCTACGTTTAAATATAAGTCACCTTAAACGCATATTACCAGTTTACAATGAACTAGTAGACAGAGGTAAATAATATGTATATATTAAGGTTTATTTAAATTAAAATCTTATGGATATATTTATTTACATAACATCCATATTTTTTAATTATATTATCTATAATATTTATAACAAATTCCCCATACACACGGAACTATTTTTAGATGGCGGATGGAGGATGACGTACTAGTGGTACGGTCTTTTCTCATTTCTACTCATGCGTATGTGTAGTACTATTGTTCAGTGTAGGGAATGGTTTGTGGCAGCAGCTTCGTCCATTTTCGTTTTGTTGCACTGCATGTTGGTTTGGCGTCCTGGCTTTTACGATATTGATTAATAGCATAGGTAAGTTTCTATTAATGCTTTAATTTACCTACTCCTTTAATAATTGTCGCATTTTACAACAACTACTGTTTTTTAGGTAGGTACAGTAGAAACTCCAAAACATAACCATACTTTTGTTTCTCTTATTTTTATACGTATTTTTTAGGCTACCTAGTTATTCCAAGCATACTTATTTTTCTTTTTTTTTTGGTCAGTTGTTTTTTATTTAATAAAATGTCTAAAATAACCCTGTCTCGGCGTCATCTACGTAGAAAAATAGCACAAAATGTTCAAGATGCTTTAAAGTCAAATCAATTTTATTTTTATTCCCAATGAAGATAATATTAATAAGGCTTCGGACATTAATATATCATCTGATTCTATTATTTATAATTTCCAAGAAAATAGTACAAATTTAACTTCGGAGCTTTTAGAAAATATTTCACCTGAAATTGAGTTACATTTTGGTTATAGGAATGGGGGTGAACCAAGCGACTTAACTGACCGAACGATTAGGTGTACCATACAAGATTGGCTTAAGTTGGCTAAGGCCCGTCTAGGATACAACACATCCAAATTGTTAAGCTAAGATTTTAATTTTCATATATTTTTTTTGTTAGTTAAAAAAAAGTTTCGTTTAGTTTGTTATTCAGTATTTTAGTGTTTTTTTTTAGTACTTATTTATTTTTAGTATTTTA